TTCCTCATCCACTCAGGCATCTCAGCAGCTAACCGCAACCGCTTCCATTCTCTTCAGTTCTTTGCCATCTTGTCCGCGACAAGTCACTTCGCATTCACTCTCTTTACAAGTCCAAGCAATTTGAAACGCAGCTACCTCACCATGAAGTTCCTCAGCACTCTCGTTCTGGCCTCCACCGCCTTTGCCTACCCCACGATTCCGCAGGAAGAAACCAAGCGGCAGCTGGGCGGCACCGTCGGCAGCACGGCGAACGAGTTCAAGACCGGCGGATGCAACGATATCATCTTCGTTTGGGCGCGCGGCTCCACGGAGATCGGCAACATGGTGGGTTTACTCGAGTTCCTTGAACCCAACTGTCGATTGTTGGTGACTTTGATGCTAAAACTTTCTTTTCTCTGAACAGGGCACCGTTGTGGGACCCCCTGTTGCCAACAACCTGAAGGCCGCCTTCCCGGGTAAGGTTGCCGTCCAGGGTGTTGCTTATCCCGCTGGTCTGGACACCAACTTCCTCCCCGGTGGTGCTGACCGCGTTGGCATCAACGAGATGAAGAGCATCCTCAGTGACATCGCGAGCAAGTGCCCTACCGCCATCGTCGTCACTGGAGGCTACTCGTAAGTTTCAGAACTTCATTTCTCACTTACATGCTAGGCTCGGAATGCTGACCGATCTGAAAACAGTCAAGGTGCGGCCGTCAACCACCGTGCCATCGAGAACGCCCCCGATGCGCAAAAGACCCAGATCGCCGGAGTGGTCACCTTCGGAGACACCCAGTTCCGCGCCGACAACGGCCAGATCCCCAACTTCCCCAAGGACAAGATCAATATCATCTGCGCCGCCAACCCGCGCGACACTGTCTGCGACGGAAACCTGAGCGCCGCCGTCCTGGCGCCTCACCTGTCATACGGCGCCAACGCTCGGGAGGGCGCCAACTTCCTCATTGCGCAGATCAAGAAGGTTCAGGTTTAAGGTCGACTTGCACCATCTGCCAATCTGAGGCCCACAAGGGGCAGTGTTTTCTCGTCGAGAACGTTGTCCCGCGATCAGATTTGCTGAGTGGGCTGATGGGAGTGGTTCCGCACATATCATGAAAAAAATGGCTGGGTCCTCTTTTTGTTTTTCTTGCGACATGAAGCTTCCGGAGGCTTCTGTACTTTTGTTTCTTTCCTGTCTGGCTTTGGCCAAGACACGCGGTTGATAGTCCTGCTTGAGTGCTGCATCTTTTCTTTCCAAAACACATCACTGTTACCCGCCAATCTTATTTTCCAAGACCTGTGACCTGATTGCTATGAATGTTCTGCCCACATGAGGCCAGAGGAACGGGCCCTCATTGCGGCGGTGCAGACAGACAAGAAAACGCCGCGTGAAGGTTACACCCGTGCCTGTCGCTTTGGCCTCGTCCAATTGAGCATCTTGACCCTCAGGGCGCACAGAGGCTCGGGCCGCACTATCAGTTCAGACGGATAATTTATATGAACATGTCAGTGTGTCGCTTCGTTTCTTTTTTGCCCGCAAGCTGTTTCACACTGAGTCTTCGCTCGCCGACCTTCCGTTGCATATCATGAACAATAGTTTCTGTTGGTATCACAGGCGTGATACATTTCCTCATGAGGGTGTATCTTCGGCAACAATCACGTCGATGTCCGTGATAATTGCTGTTGTTGTTCTTGTTCTTCCTATTTACATTGTGGGCAGGGGCCGATCGAAGTAGGTGGGGACGGCCTGGGTGGTTGCCCCACCTTAACCGGCCGTGATGACTAAGCCGGTTGTCCCACTTCGCCCAGGGCAGGCGCCAGCCAACCCACGATACCTGCCCATTGCTCCTTATCAGCCTTGCCGTTCCGACAGTTTCATTTGCTGCGTGACTTTGTGAAGACTTCAGCAATCCAATGAGTACCGCTGTCAACCATCTGGTTTAAGTTCCACCACGACAAAATTCGAGAAGCAACCTGCAGCACCGTTTCAAGCCGTTGAACGTCAACTTGTCCTGTGGGGAACCAGCTTGCTTCTTTGCCCCCACCACGATGTTTTCGGGGAATTTTCTGTGGGGGCTGAAAAGGGGCCAAGACTGGAGGCAATATCGTGTGTATTCCATCGGGTGCTGATGGACCTCATTTTTGCCAAGACTCGAACGCCCCATTATTTGCCCATTTTTTCCCCGCGTTGAAAGGGGTACTTGACGGTACGTTATTTATCCCTATGCTCTTTTACCTATTCTTGCCACTATTACTACCATTTCAATTATTACTGCGATATCTTCTAGTGATTCTGATGCTTCTAATACTTCTATTACTTCTTTACGTAGTTGTATAGTAATTGAGATCCTTCCCGAAGACCTTACTACGGCCTATAATCCAGACTATATGCCAGAGCGCTGTAACGTAGCAATAGTCCGGCCCCACGAACCTCCTGCTACCGAGCATGGTCTTCCGGGCTCCTTCCGGCCGTTTAACGTGCCGACCCGGGCCCGAGAGGTACGACAGCTGCCGGCAAACCCGCTGGACTTCTTCGTCTAATACGTTCTGTAGAGCCTCGTGGGGCAGTAGGCCCAGTGGACGAATACAGCGCCGTTATCTAAAGAGGGCCCTAAGGCTAGAACGTCTAGAGCGAATTCATAGCGGCAGACTTCAGTAGACGAGATCTACCTCTTCCTAGGGATCCTATTATATATAGGGATTTATAGGGAGTCTAGATTATCAACTTATTGGTCAACTTAGTAGTAAACGGAGGATCCTATCTACCTATTTACACGGTTTATGTCCCGGGACCGTTTCTAACTACTACTCCAGCGACTACGGATATTCAATACTGCGGAATTCCAGCCTAGCTAGCCTAGCCTAGCCGGGGCCGGGCCCGGGATCAAATGCTAGACGTATAACGGAAGGTTAACCAGTGGTTAGCCCACATCTAAGAGACTGGGGACTCCTTTTATATACCTGGTTTAGACCTTATAGTCGAAGAGGCTATGGTCCGATTTATAGGTCGATCTCTTAAGACAACGACGATTCCAACGAAGCCTATCCTAACTGGCTATAAGATCTGGATCCTTGCCCAGTCTGGCTACTGTATACGGTGGCTGTGGCATGTACATGGAAAGGGCCTATTCGCACTAGTCCCTCAGGCCCAGCCAGCTGGGCTGGCTGTTGGAAAGCTGGCTCTGTTGACACCAACACAGCAGGTAGTAACTACCCTTATTTCCCTACTTCCAGCTGTAAACTACCACGTATTTCTTAACAACCTCTTTGCTTCTATACGTCTCTTTCGTACCTTACGGAATCAACGGGTTGGAGCTTCTGGTACTTGCCGAAAGGATAGTGGGATAGACAAGACCTTAGTTAATAAGAAAGAGACTAAAGGAGGAGAAATCCCCTAGGGTAAAGTACACTGTATCCCTACTTTAAATAGGGAGGTAAGCTACTAGCCCGCCCTACCTAGCCCTACTTAGCCCAGCCCAGCCTAGCTAGCCTACCTAACTAACTAGTAAATAGGTCAACCAGTTCACTTGGAAGGATAATGCCCTTGTACTCTTCCTGTTAACTGTCTTCCAGGACGGGCAGGAAGTTATCCGCAGCCACCGCCGCCCAGCTGGGAATTCTGCTGCCAAGAAGGCTGCCCGACAAGTGTTTGGCCTAGATATCCGCAAGGACTTACTAATCCCTAGGGTAATTAATGAATATAACTATAAGATGAATGGGGTTGATGTGAGTGACTAGATGAGGTCCTATTATCAATATAGCTACCCTGTTCGTCGAGGGGGCTGGCAGTTAATTGCCTGGAATTTCCTGCTGGAAGTGGTAGTTGTGAATAGCTTCCTACTGCAGCTCTGGGGCAGTCCTAGGTGGCGGAAGGTGAAAACCTACTACTAATGGCGGTAGCTGCTTGTAGCCTAGCTTATTCAATAGTTTGAACTATTAGTAGGTGGGCGAAGACTTTCACGACCTAGGCGGGCTACAGATAAAAGGAATACCTCTATTCCATGGGAATACTATAGGAAGGGATTAAGAAAGGCTTGTTTACTTTGCTCTTATTATGGTAATAGGAAGGTATTACGGCAGCCTTTAGGTGAGGTATCTAGGAATAACCTCACTCGGCAGCAGCAGTGGAAAAAAACTCGGAAGGGCTGCTTAGATTATAACGTACTATTATGTATTAATAGAGATTGCTAGTACCTCTGGCATACCCAAGAACTATAGAGATTAGAGGTACTGGAAATCGATTGGTTAACTTAAAGATTTTCCACGCCCTTATTGGCTCTACCCCGCTCTTGACAAAAATGAGGTCCATCAGCACCCGATGGGATAAGTCACCCACTTGCAGTTTGCTGTCAGATATAGATGAGAGGCCATGTTCTTACCACTTTGAGTAACTCCCGCGAAGGATTTTGTTGCTATGAGTCCCACTGTTCCACAACCCCGCCTGGGGTGCATGCAGACTGCGTCACATTGTGGGTATCCACCGTTGGCCAGAATCGGCCGTTTTATTGAATGCGATTGGAGGATGACCCTGGAGAAGCTGAATCCCTGTCGAATTGACAATATCGCGATCCCCTCGCAATCAAAGTGCCGAGGCACACGAAGCCATCATTCAGGGGGCCTGGCCAAATGTACGTTTCTTGACGTTGAACTGCACAGATTTGCGATCTCTCCTCTCAGACCCTTTATGAAGACACCATCACACATGGTAGTAAGCCAAGAATTACAACTTCGTTGGCATGAAGTGACGGAGAACTCACCCTTGTATGATCCCCTCTTCCGGAAGAACTTGCGATGAAGCTCAAAACTGGATGGACTCAATCAACTAAGACATTATGTCAATGATGCAGCAACCGAGGCCCTGAGGCAGAAGACCTTGAGTATCTCGAATGGACATCACACTTTCTGCCATTAAAATGTAGATAAATAGTTGTGACATGTTCGTGTTGGAGCGTGAAGCTTTCAACTCACAATCAAGGGATTATCTGACAGATTCTCATCGCAATCGGATTTACAACAAAAAAGTCACGATGTTTTTCATCAAGCTTGTCGCTCTTTCTGCTCTTTCTCTGTCCGTTGTACACGGCCAGGGCACTGATGACTGCCCAGAGCTTCCAGAGACTGGAGTCACTATCGGTGACCCTGTTCCCATCCGGCCGGAAGATGTTCCCGCTGGCTGTTCTGACTTCGAGATTCTCGTTGGTGTGTTCTGTAAGAAATCGATCAGCCTCTTCTATCAACCTGACAAAGCGTCGTCTAGCTCGAGGAACGAGTGAGCCCAACTTTGTCGGCGGCGGCGGAAAGTTTGGCATCATCGTCGGCGACCCGGTCGTCAGCAACACGACTGTTGCTCTTCCTGGCGCCAGAGGATACCCTGTTCAAGTAAGAACTGGATTTCTTGTACCTAATCAAAACTCTTTAATCTAACAACACACATAGTATCCGGCCAGCTCGCAGATCATCACGGGCGTCCGTCAAGGTTCCAGAGATGTGGTCAATCGCCTCAAGTCCCAGGCTGTTGCCTGTCCCAACCAGAACTTTTCTCTGGTCGGATATTCTCAGGGCGCGGCTGTGATGCACGCCGCCGCAGCTGACATCCCAGCTGAGCTCTATAGCCGCATCAAATCTCTGGTGATGTTTGGGGACGGATACTTGAAGCTCGGAGCCAGCCTGAGCAAATTCCCCGCCGGGCTGGACGAGAAGGTGAGGCAGGTCTGCGCAGCTGGTGATCCGGTAAGAATGATGACGACTCAGAGCCAATGTTTTATGACTCCAGCTGACTCTCCCGTGCCCTGATTGCTAGGTTTGCGATGCTAGTGGTACCTGCACATTCTTCCACCTGACTTATATCCGTCCTGAGTTCATTGATCCTGCCGTCGACTTCATTGTTCAGAAGTTTACTCAGTAATTCAACAACGAGAAATACTGAAAGACCTTTATGTCAGAGCCCTCCCGGATAGGGGCTAGTTAGAGGTAGTAAAGAGTCCAAGCAACAAAGGAGCAGCTCAGATATATATACAGCGCAGGGAGTACACGTCGGGGGAGGAGCAGATTTCAGTAATTCATCATTCTACCCCTAACTGCAGTTGGCCTCTGAGAGCTTCCACCCTGCGTCAACAACCCCAACTTGACACTTTATAGCTTCACTTTGTGGCAGTGTGTGGGTCGTTGAAACGAAGTGAAGAGGATTGGGTGCTGTCGCTTTCCATGCCCGGTTTTTCCTAGTACCTATATCGAATACCTACGATGAGCTTACGTCAATGCAAGCCAACCCAATTCAAGCTTTGAAGCCTCCGCCGGATAACTCTTCCTCGAAATCATAGCAAACCTGGAACTCGCAGTGACAAATTTCAGGATCGCTCTCAACGTCGAAGTTGAAGTTTGCCTCGTCGTCACTGATTAGAACCTTCCGGGGACCACTATTACTATGTGATGCTGCCTCTGCTAGGAGCTGAGCCTGACGTATTCTTTCCATGGATGTGAACAAGAATGCAGCCTCAAAGAGAGTCTGCCCAACGGTCAGGATGCCATGATTCCTGAGAATGCACCCCTTGTCATTTGGGCTAAGCGCGCTAGCAATGGGATCGCCTTCTTCACTACCCAAGACGACTTCTCTGTAGCTATCATACACAATATGCGCGTCTCCTCGAAACTTGCAAGCATCTTGCGTCAATAAATCGATCATGCCTTCCCATGCACACTATGACAGTGGCAAACCGCATATGCATCCGGTCTAGCTTTATGAACAGAGGCGTGAATGAGGAACCCGGCGTTATTCAGAAGAGCAGATCGATTCTCAACAACGAAAGACCCATCTAAGTCGACAAGAATCATATCGCTAATCTTCAAGAGGCCGAAATGTCGGCCTAAGGGGTTGGTCCAAAACGAGTTGGGAAACTCTGTAACGATTGATGTCGTCGAATATAGAGAAAAAGTTAACTAGTTTCAACATGACAGACTAATGGCGAACAGCCTACATGTTACAGCCTGTTTCTCATGTTGATGTGAACCGCCTTGATGATAGTATACGCTTGTAAGTCAGCTTCGCCAAACTCTCTGCCAATACCGCTCTGTACTTTGGGTACTGCAACGCAAGGCATACATACCACAGTACATCTTGGGCAGCCTCATACTGCCCTGATCTTTCAAATCTTGGATGATATGGACAATAGCATCCCAAGCAATTACTCTGTTGACCATGTTGTGAAAGTTTCCAATACATTTGTTCTCATCCGATGTGTATGTACGATTGTAGAAAACGTTGAATGATTCAAATATGGTCCGGAGCGAGACTACCACAACTCAGTCTAAGCAGGGATTTTCTCGACGTTACTTATTTTCCAACTGACGTTAGGATCTACGAAATGTTAAATGTATCGACGAGAATACATTAATCGATGAAGACAAACAGACTTTTTTTTTGTGCTTAGGAGTTACCGTTGTGGCCTGCTGCCAAAGCCAAGTGGTCAGTCCAGATCCAAAGAAGACATGGGCCCGGCAACACTTGACGAATTTGATTTCGGTGACATCATTGACGCAGGTAATTTTATTCTTTGTAGAGCAAACTTCTACTTTTGGTCTAATCATGGGACTTCTTAGTGGCCAATAAGCAATGTCATTACAAATTTCTGTTCCCGTGTGCGCCCTTAGTTGGAGGACATGGGGTTCACTGTATGGGCCAGTCAGTGGTGTTCAGCTTAAGTCAGACTTCATGATAAGAAGTGGCAGAGATAGACTGAAACAGATCCCGAGTTAAGAATTCCAACTCGTCCAGGATTGGAATTTTTCTACGTGCACGAGCTGCAAAGACTCCGGCCAGGTCGCACTCGTTGAGACACTTTTGCGGTCGATAGGCCAACGTCAATCGACCAGCCACAATGTTACGACTACCTCATTCTTGTATTAATCTGTCTGGAGCTGAATGATCTTGGAGCAAGTCGAGGGATGTTCAGCCACCACAATACGCCTTGCAGTGCTTTGAAATTTTAAGCACGAGAGGTCTTGCTGGCTGCATCAACTACCATGATCTTGACTATCTTCGTGGGTTGATGGTGCTCATCAGTTGTGACGGTTAGTCAGGGTGGCCAGCGGAATATGCATATATGAGTGAGCAGAAAAGAGCGTCTATTCGTACTAAAGAGTGGATGGAATCACCACAGGCTTGTGGGCCTAATGCTATCCTAATAAGTCTTGCAGAGCTAGGACCAGGTGGAAATGACAGTCTGGCCTGTTTCGTGATGGTCAGACCATTCCGAATGGGTTATGTCCATGACTCGCATAGGAGCATGCATGGATTCTGTCAAGTTGCAAAGAAGCTCCGGCCTGGCTGAGTGATGACTAATTTCGAGGTTGTTTCTACACCATAAATCCGTACAGAACTCTTAGTCTGGTTGGTAAGCAGACCCCCCTCTCAAGAATGCTGCCAAGGTACGGCTCCCACACTAGACAAGGTATCAATTGCTCCCTTCGAGTTTTGATTTTTTGCGCATTAATGAGACCCGCACACTTGCCGCCCATTGCGCGTAATCGGAAATGTGTTGAACCCTTTCGCTGTCTCTCCCTGGATTAGCTTCCCCACTCGAATGCGATTATTGATGACCAATTTCACATCAACGACGGACGTCAAGAAAGTAGGTGCGTCACGATCTAGCACACTCTCGCGTGGCATAGCGCATTGAAATTATCGAGAGATTCTTGAATGACTCTCAAACGGATGATCCTAAGCTTCTGACAACAGTACCTAAATAGTATGCTTCATTTAGAGGATGTTTGAGGACCGCCGCCAAATCCAGGCCTCTCTTGGATTTCCTGAATAAGGTCCTTGAACACGACATCACACCCATTTGCCAGCTTCTGAAACTCTGTCTCGTTCTCAGCCACCCATGGCTCAAACTTTCCGGGCTAAAAATTGTTGTTAGCGTCCCGATTCCATTTCAACCTTTCGCTGACTCGAGTCTGAGGTCGACTCACCATTGGCAAAAAGAAGCCTCTCTCGTATGCGGAGTCAAAGACGCCCATTACAAACACGTCTCTCAGTTCTTTCTCTCGCTCGCTTGCCTGGATATCCTTCGTCAATTCGTTCCACATTGAAACCAGCTTGGTCGTGATCCTCTTGTACTGCTCCTCGGTCCGGCCTGTTCCGCTTCTCAGAGTGATCATGAGTTTGTTGGTCTTCAACTCATGACCACCAACCCAAAAGTCTTCTGTATTGGCAGCGCGGATGTCGATGAATCGACAGTTGACAATGAAACGAGGGGCTTTGAAAGTTGTCGCGTGCCAGTCAGTGATGAGCCTCGCGAGATTGGCCTTCTGGGAACGGCCAAGCGGAAGGATATGGTGGAATTCGTAGGTAGGCATGATTGCTTGACTACACGTCTGCTCAGATTGATGTTGATTCTTTTGATCAGAATATTTCGAGTATTTCAACAGTCGAGGACAGATGAGGCGAGTTTTTAAAGTCTCGAAGAGATCTGGGAATGGACCATCGATCAGGCAGCCAGGCTGAGGCAGGTAACATTAGTTCCCTGCACAACCTAAGGTACCTTGCTTTACCTAGGTACGATCCTACTACCTGGCAAGCGTGATTTGTCATCCCAGTATATTCGGCCATTACCCCTCCTCTCCTCATGGGCACAGAGTACATAAAATACGTACTTCGGTTAGACCCTGGGACCTCCTATTTAGCCGTCATCATCATTGTTCCCCCCTAGACTGACTTCCAGCCCCTATTGTTGGTATACACGTCAGCAGGGCAACCGTACGGTTGGAACGAAGTGTCAATAATGGTCTATTATTGCTGCGTCTGGAGGTGGAAGGAGGAGATTGTGGGCAGAGCCCACGATCTCCCAGAAGTGGTATATAAGTGAAAGGGCCGTTTGTAAGTGCCCATACCGCCTTCCAGATCCATCTTTTCTGCCGACTGCTCAGAGATCCAACACCTATCGACCCAAATCGCCCAATAATCGCAACATGGCTTCTCAGGGCACCTTTCGTCATGACGCCGTTGTCTTCACCGACAAGGCCATGAAGCCTCTACCTGTGTTTTCACAGGCTATTAAGGCGAACAACATTCTCTATGTCTCAGGGAATGTGGGCATGGATCCTGTTACAGGGAAACTTGCCGACGGAGTTGCTGCACAAACCGTGAGTACATGCAGCATGACCTTGGCAACTCGAAATGCGGGTGGCTGATTTACAATCTATTGGCGACCAGACATAAATCCTCAAAGGGCTTGATGCAATTCTTCTAGCCGCTGGTTCCAGTCTTGGACAGGTCATCAAAGTCAATGTCTATGTGACCGACATGGGAAAATTCGCTGAGATGAACGAGGCGTATTTGGGGGTGTTCGAAGAGCCCCAACCAGTGAATTCGATTATCGGTGAATCTAAGCAATTACTGACCTCGAGAAAGGCTCACACCTGCGTTCAGGTATCTGCGTTGCCTTTCGGGGCTTTGGTTGAGATGGAGTGCCAAGCATTGTTGAGTTAGATGGAGGTGCCACAGACCACTAAATGTTCTTTCGTAGATGATATGCGATTGAAGAATAGATAGTAGCCAATGACGTACATGTGTTCACAACCAAATTATTGCCTCAACATGACAAAGTGGCCTTCTCTGTGGTGACTGGACTGTTTTCAGCTTAGCTGCTAACTTTGCAGTCCCCGCTGTCTTGCTTGATGACCAATTTCCCCGCTCCTTGTTTCGCACACGGCGTCCCAAGGGCGCGAGTGCACGAGGTACGGGGTTCTCGCCGAGTCACGCCCCTGAATGAAGTTATAAGTACTCCCCTATCCGACTACTGAGTAGCCCAAGTACTGGATACTTCGACTCTCATAGCGGTCTCACGTTCACCTGCAAGAGAGATCTCAGTCACAATGGCGTCTGACCCAATCCTAGCGTTGGCTCTCACCCCTTTTTGGAAATCCATGAGAGAGAAATACTTTCTTTTCGCAAAAGGCTATACCAACGGAAGACTCATGGCACGTGAATAATAGCCCATGGAATGGATTGGAGACATGATCTACGAGTTTGGAATCCACGAGTACTCCGTACACAAGTTCGACCAGGCTTGGGGACCCTGAGCTGAAAGTGAGTCAAGGCGGAACGCAGGCCGCAGTGAACTACCATGCAGGAAAATACACATGCCATGTGCACGAGGATTCGTTGAAAAGCCAATGAAATAAGTAAGGTATTCATGGCTGAGGTGAGAATACCATTAAACCAAGAGAGATCACGTCAAGCAGGGGTCCTAGCCTTGTTTTCAGCCCCTCCTCGTCTAAGGGACCCCTTGTGTTTTTGTTGGTTCCACTCGGAATCGCCGTTCTTCTGCTACGAGCGACTTAAGGCATGTTCAGGCATGAGGGGACAACTCATTCACTGCCGAAAAGAGGAGATACCAGTCCAGCCGCAGGAGTAACAATCTCAGATGAGCCTAGTGAGTGAAGTTTATGTTTCTTCTTTTTCACGCAAAGCCGTGCAGAAAACAATCCAGGCTCTCGGGTGGATCAGGGTCCGAGGAATCGCAAGTCGCTTACGTTCACCGCAGCATCGGAGAATTCTTTTTTTCTGAGGAATGCCAGGGGCCCTGACATGGTGAACGGGGGTTAAGGCAGGGGTTTTTTCAGCTAGTGGGGAAGACGTTTCCCATCTCGAACTCGTTTGGGGCTTGCCACACTAGTTTGCAAACTAGCAGAACATCCCATGTAACCCGTCAGGAGACCATAGTGAACAGTACTTCGGAGTAAACTAGCTGGTTTTGACACTCGAGCTGGTGGCGGCGCCCCTTTCGGGCCTAGGTGTTGGCTCCCGTACGGCTTCACCCGTAGTAGCGGCTAAACTATAGTATGAAATGGCCGTTCTGGACTGTTATATCCTGGTTGAAAACGTCGCAATGCAGCAAGCACTCCGAAAATGGGGCCAGCAAACGCATGGCCTGACATGGTATAATTTGAGCTTACTTGAATTTGGTGTTGTTTGGTCATAGCATTTTGTCTCACTTCGGAATCGCTTAGAGATGGACATCCCGAAGTACAAACAAGCATCTCTCGTAAGGGAATGCAGGGAGATGGGTTTACCTGCTGAACTATGCCTTTCAGCTTTCGGATCCAAGCCCACGGTAACGATCAAGCAGGGTGGATCATGGAGCATTCTGGGCATGGAATTTCGTGGAGAAGATACTCCGCTTCGGTCACATCCGGAGCCTAGAGCAAAATCTAGTGAAGCAGAGGCTTGCTGAACTCCACGGAGTTCAGCTGCGATAATTCTAGCCCAGTCTGAACGAACTTGCGGTCTAGACGGACTCAAGAACTTGAACTATGAAGCATGAAGGCACGCTGAGCTATTGTGTATAAGAATCGCTGGTCAAAGCCGGAAGAAACATATTTCTCACTCACTCACTCAGTCACTCGTCATCTCAACTGAAGCAGCTCAAGTCTTTCCTACGACTCTTCACAGTTATCACTTATCCCATACATCAAACAGAACGAACACTTAATCACATCAGGTTCTTGTCCTCCGCCACAATGAAGTCCTCCATCATCACTGCTCTCGTCGGCAGCATCATCGCTCAACGTGCTGCCGCCACCCCCGCTGACGAACTATTCGCACGTCAAGCCGCCTGCAACCGTGATAACTGCTTCCGCGCGCTTCTCGGTTCTAAGCCCGGCCCGGCTTCGGCGTCGGCAGACTGTTTATCATGGATGCAGGTCACTGAGACACCTTGCACCTCAACCGCAACCCAGACGGCCACCGTCACTTCGTACACTACCACCTTAGCCAATGCCTACCCGGGACTCAAGAAGATGAAGCGCGAGGAAGTCGAAGCTCGCCAGGCTTTGACCACCACCGCTGCTGCCCCGGCCTGCACACCCGCTCAGAACCGCCCGAGCAGCATGCCAGCCTACGCCGAAACGGGTTGCAAGAACACCATCGGAACACTCGTTCCTACGGCGCGCTACTCGTCTGCCTGCTCCTGTGATGGAGTCACCGCCTCAACTACCACACTTGCCACTCCGGTCACCACCATCACTGTCACGACCACCGTCGAGGCCGCTTTCACGCCCACGGCCACACCCACGGCATTCGTCCTTCAGGGATCCGGTGACCGAAGCCTGTACATGAAGGTCGATGACCAAGGCGCGCTCCGCCTCGTCCGCGATGCGTCTGTCGCCACGCCGTTCTATGTCGACAAGGCCGGTCAGATGCGCAACCTTAACAGCCCGGACAAGGTCCTCGTGGACTACTACCAGCCCGACCCTGCCACCGCCAACGACAAGGTGTACAGCGACGTGCAGGGCACCGGAAACTACCCTATTACTTGCTCGTACACTGGTCGCTCTGACGATGCTTACTACGGCAACTGCCAGTCGAGCGGCTCCCCTACTGGAAACCCTGTTGTTTATGGCTTTGGATACTGCCCGAACCAGGGCGGCTACGTCTACATGATCCCCAACAACTCCAACGTCCGCTGTGCTGGAGGCTATGCTTTCTTGGGCTTCTGGCTGCAGACTTACATCAAGGCCTAAAGAAACCAGGAGCCGATTTGTTGTGTTTGCTATTCTCAGAGAAGAAGACATTTTCGTATGAAACTGTTTCTTCTCAAGCAACTTCTTCTCCCGAAGAAGTGCATTGGCTCTCAACTTTATCCTAATTCATAGCTTTTGATTTTTCAGTGTGGCGTTTTCAATTACAATTCATTCCAAGACTAAAATGATATCCCTTGACACGATATGAATGTGTGATAATGTACACATGATGTTGGTAGATTCTACGAGTTTATTTCATGGCAAAGATGAGATCAATGAAAGATCTCATGGCCGTAAGAGAAAATTCACAGTGTCGATTTTGGCTAAAATTCGATGTTTTCATAAAAGGGCCAATCGCCCGCTTGGTCTCAAGTCCCTTTCCTAAACTACCAACTCGCACTCGATGAGATTCTCAACATCCGACTGGCCGCACTTCCAGAACTCGACGATCCTCAAGTTCAGCCCGCTCTTCTCAATCAGTTTGTGCCAGCGGTCTTCGGTACGTTCTAATGCCGAAAGCTGGGTCATCATCAGGATGTCGCCGGCTGTGGCCTCCCAGTAAGCACCCGTACGAGGAATGACCACCTCAAAGATCAATAGCTTGCTGTATCCAGGCTTCATTGCTTCTGCGAGGGGCGCCAGAATCTCCTTGCACACATCATCTGGCCAGTCATGCATGATCGAGTGCATGAAGTAGCCCTTTGCGCCCTTGACTGGCTGCTCAGTCAAAAAGTCGTGGCCCTTGAGTTCGATGCTGGGGTCAATGTCTTTGACGTCGTTGATCACCACGGCAAGACCTTGGAGGATAACTTTCTGGATGGTTGTAAGTCATGCCTCAAGAGCCCATATTGACCCATAAGTGATTGGGGTCCATTAGAAAAGAAAAACTTACGCCTGGTGAGTCGGATACATCTTTTTGAACTCATCAATGTCATGGCCAAGGCCACCGGCCACGTCCACCAGAAGTGGTGAATCAGGTGAGCTATCCGCTTCTTGGAATAGGGTCTTCTCGACAGGATACAACGAAGGATGCATCCAGGGCACTCGTCCTTGTCTATAGCCACCCACTGTCAGAGTTGTTAGTGATCACATTCCCATTACTTGGCTCTTTCATATACCTACTGTGATGATTCGTGTGAGGGCCCAGTCCTATGGAACGTAGGTACTCGAAGCAGTTTGGTGCATCTGTCTGATAAGACGCGTGCATAGCTGTGCGCGCAGCATCAGTAGGGTTCTGCCAGTTGGTCTCCCGGAGAAACTTGGAGAACTTGATTGGGCTTCGACCAATGCCACCAATTCTGTAATTTGTACGACACGTCAGTTGAGATGGAAGATATCGCAGAAGACATAGATCTGGATATCCTTACAGGGCAACGTAGCCATCGCCGATGACATCCAGGGCCAATGACTTGGTGAAGTTGGTTAGTAAGTACTCGTCCTGCGCCGTCTCCTTCAGATGACCCATTGCGCAGACGTGACGCAAAAGACGTCCTGTATACAGTGTAAGTTGAGAGATGTTCCGAAGCGGCATGGAAAGTCTTGCGTACCAAGAAGCATAGGATCGATTCCGGGAGTCTCGGCCAGATTGTCAACTTTCTGGGGTTGAGCCACACCATTCTTGGCCATGAGATTCCATAGCCCAGTGTCAACTCCAGTGATCAAAGCTGCATTCAGTCCAGGCTGATAACGACTGTCAGCAAATCCATAACTTGGTCTTTGATGAGTACCAGCTTTAGGTTGTTACTCACGTCCGCCCACGTGTGCTGCACCATTTGCTCACGTGGTGTTTGGAGGGACTTAAGAAGGCTGCGGGTCTTGATGACCAACTCATGGCGTGTCTCCTCATCTCCTTCGACTAGCTTCTTCTACAGATCATTGATATTTTGGATCAGGCCATCCACAGCCGTGTAGTCGCTTGGGCGGGTAGCAAGGGACAGGTCAAGATCTTCAGCCATATTAAGACTGGTGAGGAGTGGCAATTGGTAAAGAAGAAGGTGTAAGGAAACCTGAGCTTTGACAGGCTGTCATGAGTTACACAAGTGGTTCAAAAAAGAATTGTCTTTAAGTAATGCAGAGGCGCAGCTTCTCAAAGGATCCAAGTGGATCATGGACATCCTCAGAAACGTTGCAATGATCACGTTCCGCAGTACCCACTGAAATCATGTTGGTTTTGTTTGCTTCCAACAGAAGTCACCACTTTTACATCCGTTTTCGTCTCAACGGCCGACAAGGGGACTGATAGAGTCCCTGGGGTTCTAGCCAAGGGGTACGTAAGTTATCGTGTGATGAACTGTTGTTTTCTTGATGGCCTTCAAGTACGAGTATTCGAGCCCTGTGAGCCCAAGTCGGTGGGAGAAGACATGGAGACAAGATGCATATCAGCAATGAACCAACGCATTACCCCGGCCTTCAATAATTCCACACTTGTGTCTTGACAGGTTGAGGATCCTTCCCCGGGCTTCCGGTTTCTGGGGTCTCATTCCCGGACTTCCCCCGAGGTCGCATCAGGCCACAACTCCGAGTCTTCAACCAAAGTTCCTTCAGAACCAACAGCTCGGGAAAGGGTATTGACGGTCGATCAACGTCCAACCTGTACGTGCAGTCATGGATTGCGTGGAAATAGACCCGATTTGCAATGAAAATCAGGCGGAACAAGTCCGAAGCGTAGGGGATGACAACATTTCCACTCCAAGTCTCAGGCATTGAAATCCGGCTGTCTCTCAACCTCCGCCGACAATGGTGAACCCAGACCTTAGCCGTACTTTGCGCGCCAGTTGATACCTCTCATCTCCTCATTCAGGAGAATTCGTTCGCCATCATGGTCGACGACAAAGGTCCAATGATCATTGCGGTCTGTTAGTCTTTCACTGCCCTAGGCCTCATCTTCGTCGGTGGAAGGCTCTTCGTCCGAGCCACAGTTCACCGAAAGCTATTCAGCGATGACTACTGGATAATTCTTTCGTCTGTAGGTTTCTGCAGCTCCACATTCTCTGTATCATCGACCTCAAGTTCAAGGCACACTGACTTACGAATTGACGTCGAACAGTTTTGCGCTATCCTCTCGAACGCATTAGTGACCACCTCGTTCGGTTGGGGTAATGGCAAACACTTCACAGCTCTCGATTTGGAACAGAAGCAGAACACAGTCAAGTGGATGATAGCGGCGTACGTCCCAGGCATTGAAACTCTCGGCTTCCCGAAGCTAGCCGTGATCGCGTTTCTCACACGGTTGCTTGCGCCGGGCAAGCTGCACCTCCGGATATTATGGTCGATGGGGACCATATGCTGCCTGTCACTTACAGCTATGGTCTTGACGCTTCTGCTGCAGTACACGCCTCCTAGAGCCCTCTGGACTTTTTCAATGCCGCGGGACTGCCTAGACCCGAAGATTTTGGAAGGTCTGGCCTTCTGGGCCAGTTGTGAGTGAATATGTGCTATCACAATGCCTATTCTCGAGCACACTGACTGACTACTGAACACTAACAGCTTTTTCTGCCTTTTTTGATTTTTACTTGGCTGTATATCCAGCAGTAGTGCTCTGGAAATTGCAGATGCGGTTCCAGAAGAAGCTGGCGGTCACCTGCGCGCTTGGAATGGGCATCATGTAAGTGTCCTTGCCAGAGGCTCAGAGACGTAGCTGACGAAGATCAAAAGCTCTGGATGTGCCGGTATTGTGAAGGCTACAGGTGTCCCAACCCTTTCGAGCCAAGATGTCAGCTGTAGGTTATCTCACCATTCAAGCCTTAGATGTAGAGCTCGTCACTAAGGATCAACTCCAGACGACTTATGTGATCCATTATATTGGACATCGTGAGTGACTCCTTCTCTCCACGAAGAAGTACTCGGCTAACCTTTGTGGTCGACAGCATTGAGGGGAATCTCACCATCATCGCGGCTTGCATCCCGATTCTGCAACCCATCCTCGAGATGTTCAAAGAGCGCAGCATCTGGTCTCTCGACAGAAAATCGGGCAGCTACCAGTACAACAGCCACAGCAAGAGGAGCGCACACCAGCAGCAGCAACAGCAGCAAGACTCGATCGAACTGAGAAGCAAGCCTAGGAAAAAGGTTGATGTATATGGGTTCACGATGCACGCCAAGGAAGACAGTGAAGAGAGTATCGTGCATCCGGATAAGCATTCTGCGTAGTCTTCTTCTGGGCGCCAGAGCGACACATATCCCGAAAGCGAGGACAAGATTGTCAAGAGTAGCACCGTCACTATCACGTACGATCAGGGGGAAGAGGGACCGACTTCAGCAGCAACGCGATGGGCCGCAATCTGAGTCAAGTTAGAGAAGAAGAAATCAGGAAGAACTGAGTTCAAAAAATTGAATCCGAGGGCATTCAAGCAAGCTTTAGCCAATGCAAATGCGCTGCGCTTGCCCCTGATCCCCAGCCCTGCTTCCCCAAGCGAAGTGAGACTGCCGTGTTCCGTGGTACACCAGTGACAATCTGATATCGCGCCAAAGAACTTGTTAGGAAGACGCTGAACCAACGGCTGCTACGTCCCAAGAGAATGAATATGAGACGAGGACCAGCCGCAAGACCGCTTTCGTTGCGCTGATCTCCTGGCCAGTCAGGTTTCAGAAACGTTGCTGAAACTGGTGGGGGTCCCCTAGATGCCAAGACTAACACACGGCAAGAGACAGCTTCTTCATCCCATGTCCACAAGGCGGGATACTTTAACTCCACGTCGGTCAACTGACAGGAACGCATTTCGTCTCATAAAAAAGACAATCTTGAATTTGCAGGTTTTTCTTGCACATTTAGACAGACATGATGCTGTCTTCGTCATTACTATTCCCCCTCGCGTTCGCGTCTTACACGGTCGCATCAGAGGCCCAAGCACACTTGGGCGGGGTACGAACATGCCCCTGGACACCACTGGAGACACTACTGGAATGCTCGACGGATATCGCGACAGAAAGAAAGCAGAATACAGAGACAAATCAGAGGCAAAGGAATGAAACGACAGAGACTGAGCCATTAGGATGGACGGGGCCTCACGGGTGCGTCGGAGCTTACTGCTTATACGCAAATCGCGGCTTCGCGAATGGGCGCGGAATCGTCGTCATCTCAACACCAGAAAACGTGCAGAAAGCAAAGAGCTTGGAACAAGACCTACAAACTCCAGACCCAGAAGATGATTTGTCATCACGAAATCCATCTTTTCAGATCGCAGAGGTAGAGGGCAAGGGACTCGGCATGCTCGCAAACAAAACCCTCACTCGAGGCGACACAGTCATGCTCAAGACACCAGTCCTCCTTGCCCACCGCACCTTCATCGAGCGCACGCCGCAAGCAGACCGGCACTTTCTTCTCGACAGCGTCACGGGCTTCCTCCCGCCTGCGACCCGCAAGACCTTCTTCGGCCAGATGGGACACTTTGGCGGCCACAAGGCCAGCGACATCATGGCGACAAACTCGTTCCAGATGGACCTAGGCGGCGGAGCGCAGGGCGACGGCCACCACTACGGCAACTTCCCCGAAGTATCGCGGTACAACCACGACTGTAGACCCAACGTCGCCTTCCGCATCGACGGCCTCCGCCACCGCACTACCATCGTCAGGCCGGTTAAGCCCGGTGAAGAGCTGACGATATCGTACCTCGACCAGCTCGGCGTCCGCTCCGTGCGGCAGCACCGCGCCAAGAGGGCGTGGGGCTTCGAGTGCGGGTGCTCGCAGTGCAGCCTGCCCAAGAAGCTCATCTCGACGTCGGATCAGCGGCTGATGGAGGTGGAGGAGCTAGAGAGGCAGCTCTCTAACATCGGGGCTAAGGTGACGGTGGCCATGGTGGAAAAGTTCTTGAAGTTGTACAAGGAGGAGAGGCTTGAGTCGAAGCTGGCGGGTGCGTATACGACTGCGGCGCTGAACTTCAACTTGCTTGGGAGGAATAAGCTGGCTGTCAAATATGCCAGGCTAGCCGTTGAGGCGGGCACGATTGAGAGTGGGCCGGAGACGGGGGATGTTGAAGCGATGAGGGAGTTGGCGGCGGATCCGAAGAAGCATTTTACATGGCGAGGGAGGCTTAGATGAAGAGACCAGAAAGAAAACACAAAATCGGTATCCGGGGATGGCTTATGTTCTGATGAAACAGATGCACCACCATCCATGCAATGAAAGTTCTCGCCCCATGATTTCAGCCCCTATCACCGCCTTCGAGGGAGTTAAAATCGCAGTGAAACCCAAATTGAACAAAATGTGAGACTTCTTTTGGGCCCCAATCACCGCCTCGATGGGAGTTAAAATCGCAGTGAACTCTCGCTATCTCGATCAGACATTCGAATCGTGGCTTTGTCTTCGCTAGGCAATGCAGCCCTTCACTGCCAAAAAAAAAAAAAAAAAAAAAAGGCAGCATGGCTTGTACGGAGTAAAGTCGTCGCCAATACAATTCTTTAGTCAAAGGTACCGCCAACAACAGGGATTCTTCCCAAAAGGGAAAATAGTAGAGTCAAGCACCCTGTCATAAACCGAAATGAGACATCTTGTCGTCCTGTCACGGTCAGCAATAACATTAGACATTGCATGCCTGGCTCCACGTGGGTCGTGATAGACGCAGGTCCAGATTGCGGAGAGCATTCGACCAGGCGACTATTAATTCTCGTCGAAACATGCGTTAATCGGCTGCCATGCAGCTGTTTTTAATGGAAAATCTCAGATTCTCCCGTGACGTTTGGAGTGCTCGACGCAGATCCGGGCCCTCACAGGAAGCGGGTTCCTCATCTAAGTCCAACGGGCCCCATCACGATAAACTTTCGGTAGATCCGGGCTGCGGACCGTTCATTTTTTCTCGACGGCCGCGCGGCGAGTCGGGAGAGCCGTGGTTCTTGGTCTTCAATGTGACACAGGAGCTTGGTAAGAATGCGACTGTTTTGAGCAGGTTATCCTACGTTGACGGTAGAGCGCGGGCTCCAGATCGTCGACTGATTGCTGGGGGTGTTTTGGGCTCTGGATATTGTCGCGGCATGAATACCGTCGGTACAGAACCGCAGGTTGAGGGGATCGTCCATCCATAAGTGTCCTTTAATCTAAGGGCACGAAGGAGAATGTTGTTAAAGACTGGTAAGGTTATCGTGATCGCTGTTCTACTTCGTAGGGCGTGCAAACGTCCCTGAAGATCGTTTATTTCTGGACATGGGGGCTCCGCCTAAACGCTCCAAACGGGACCCGGTCAAGTACTTTCGTCAGTGGTGGTGAGCTCGGTAAGCTCGGTGAAAGAAAGATTCGCTGAAAACTGACTCGCCCAACGGCGTGTCCTCGTATGATGGAGAAAAAGCTCGGGGCATAATTTCTGGACCAGCATGTGGTATTATGTTGGAAGCCCAATGCAACTCGGGGCAGGCGCCCTTCCCCTAGTCGAATAGAACGGTCTACCCGCGCTGTCAACTGCATCAAAGAGAGACCTTCTCCCCCCTCCTTCTTGCTATGGTGGATGGGTGTCTCACACGCAAAAGAAGACGCCGGCAGTCCGGGGAAAAAGATCGAGATCAAAGACACGGGACGCTAGCCCCAGGAACAAGGAACATGGCGGCAGAGAGGAAACTCGGCGCCGCGGAATGGAGAAGGTTCGTTGTGCTGGACGTCCTTGTGACAGGATGACAGGCGGGAGGGTGAGAAGGGACGGGGCTTGGTTGGTGGTGTGTGAAGGTGTGAGGGGGCGAGTTACCGGAGGACCCAATCCGGACGGAGGCTGACGAATAGTGGGTGTCCTTTTTCGGCCGATGCGGAATTTTTGAACATCCATCCCAGCCGTGCCAGCTACCCCCGGCCACGAGCCAGTGACGTAGCTGTGATGGTTCTCGGTGGGATCCACGCTCGACTTCTTCTTTTTTTTGCCCTTCCCTTCTAGCCCTAGCAAGCCTAGTATTAGGTCGTATCGCGAATTAACCTTCCGTCCGGCATCGCCAGCTTGTTTCTTGCTCGTCTAGGCCTTTTGCGATGGGGAAATCCTCCGCCTCTCCGGTGTAAGACAGGCGTAATGCTATCTCCGGATGAGGAAAGTCGAGACCGGGGTATCTTTCGATTCATCAAATTCACAAGGCTTCCTTGCTCGAACCAAAACAATGGATCAAAACGGCGCATCAAAGACAATGGTCCCCGACGTACGGTGGAGCCCGAGTTGGCAAAAGTGGTAAACAACCGTGCTCTTTGTCTTGGAAATAATGCGGTAGAGCTGTTGGTAGAACAGGCTTGAACTCACTTGCTCAGGCGCAAAAGCTTGAATTCCCCTCAGTCCAGGTTGCTCGCACCTCGGCAGACCAAGCTACCGAGGAAAAGCTGCATATCTGCGTGGTAATCCGTGGTGTTAGTCCAAGATTTACCCTGCAACTGAAGCGGGGGATTCGACCAAGAATCCCGTCTGCTTTCCTGCGCTTGTTGAATGCTACCGTCAATGCTCATGGCCGAAAAATGTTTCCACTCACACTTGTTTAAACGGGCACTCGACCTTTGCTCCCTGAATGCTGTTGGCTCTGATCACTGGTTCTTCGTGCCATCCCTACCCCTGCTTGTCACATCCATGAGGCCCATGACTTGCAGGCCCGGGCTTCCCACACAGCCCCATCAGTCGTCTTCGCCGGGATCATTGGGAAGGTCGCTTGGCATATTTGCAGTGAGCCCTGCCCTTCTCTCTATTGAAATGCGCTCATAACATGGATGGTCGTCATCTTATAGTCACCAACTAGTAAACTACATACTATTTATCACTCGTGTTCTTCTCCCGCCCTTTACAAGGTCCAGCTCAGCTGTCATCTGAGCTCTCTTCTTCCTTCGGGTGTCTCTGCTAGACTTCACCCACCATCGGTCACCTACCCAGAGCTTCCACCTGTCATAAAACATACACCACGCAACAAACATAACCTCACACCATGGCACCAGTAACACCAATCTCAAACACCCTCTCGGCTCTCGCCGCAGGTCTCACAAAAGGCAACCCATCAGACCTTACACCAACAAGTACCCTCCCCTCCTCCATCCGCGACATCTTCGTCCGCCAAGTCGTCACAACAATCACATCAACTCCCGAGACGACAGAAGAGTCCGCCTCCAACAACAACCTCAGCGGGGGCGCCATCGCCGGCATCGTCATCGGTTCCATCGTCGGCTTCCTCCTGCTGTTGTGGATCGTCAAGTCGTGCGGCATGTGGAGCCGACCCAACGACTGGTCCGAAAAGGACGAGTACGCCGAGCGCAGCCGCCGGTACCGTGGTCGATCACCCGGGGAGCGGCATCGCAGGCGCAACCAGCACCGGTACCACCACGAGACCTCGAGACACAGCCATAGTCGTCGTCCTTCGCACGTGGTTGACGAGGTCCGGTACACGCAGCCTGTTGTCGTGGATCAGAGGAGGAGGGCGAGCGGATCGCCTTTGACGCCTGCGAATGTGTATCGCAGCAGTCGCAGCAGGACAAGATACTAGATGTTAGGGGGTATCTCTCGTGAGATGGGGACTTGGTGGTATGGACTATATGCCGTGGCTAGGCGGCGTCTTGCTTCAGGTTCCAAAGGGCACTCTGGTGTGTGTGACATGGACACAGGTGAACACAGCTTTAACGACTTTATGAAATGTATTTATTTGCGTGCGATACAATGTAATTAGATCTGATGCTAAGAGCATAGTCATCTGTACTCACAAAAGATATCCTCTCCGATCTTGGTAAACGGTACATGCGAGGCCTTTTCGAAAGTACTTGTCTTGGGCATGTGCCTTCTCTGTCATAGTACCTTCTGGTGATACCCATTTTAAGGAGTAAGGGAGTGGCATAAGGATGAAATGTTCTAACATGATGAAGTGACAGTCTTCCTTGGGTGGGAAAGTATTCTACCTTCACACAAACGATGATTAGCGAAGCCTTCAAGTGTCATCTCATGAAGAAGTGACTGTAGGAGCAGCTCTCAAGGTACTTGATACGCAATGCGTGGCCCTATAGATGATACCAAGAAGCAGGGTATGCCTAGGGTCATGTCTCAAGTTGAACACCGATAACAAGGCTACATTAACGACCAAACCCAACTTTCTACTGTGAGCTATAAATCTGGTACTGTAAGTCTTTGATCAAGACAATCTCGTAGACAGCCGATTTCTGAAGTGCCGAGGCATCAAGTTAGGCTGCGTGTCTACCAATGGTAGTAGACCAGGATTCGGCGCTGAGTGAGTCTAAGCCTACCACACGAGGCTCGTTATCGCTGATAGGTGACTACTGACCAAGAGCACTGGCATGCCGCTACAACACACGACCATGGTCAGAAACCATTACTCAGACAAACAGTTGGCCAGAGTTGTAGAGCTGAAATTGCCTGTATTACCACACAGAGGCATCTCTCCATCTATCAGAAGGGACTAGAAGCCTTCTATATCCATGTGACCCGTCGCCTGATCCACGACTCCTAAAAGCGGATGTCCCAATTCCCAAGTATAACGCCATTTGCATAGTCTTCATCAATAGATAGCACAGAAAGCCCGGATGCTCAGCCAGACTTCGTCTTGTTCTTCTTAACCCAGTCGGCCCACTTCTTGTATTCGCCGTACTCCAAAGACTCCTTCTTGCCCTGATATCGCACGACCTTGAGCTCGATGTCCTGCCACTTGCTCTTGCTGCCCAGCCAGCCCGCCTTGCGCATGAGGCTCACCAGCGTCTCCTCCTTTGTCCAATCCTGCTCGACGGCGACGTCGGGGAGGTACGTCGCGCCGTAGCGTCTGCCGTGGTAGAAGAAGCTGATGCGCAGGCCGTGCACGCCGAGGGTCCAGTCCATGGCGTCGTCGGCGTCCTCAAAGTCGGTGAGGAGGGTCACGGCGACTTCCAGGGACGGCAGCTCGGGTGCCTCGACGGGTGGAAAGCGCGTGTCGTGCAGCGCCGAGGTGAGGGCGTAGCTCGAGAGGCCGTCTTCAAGCTCTTGTTCTTCAAAGGTGCCGATGCAGCCGCGTAGAGAGCGGTGGCCCGAGCGGGGGGAGACGGTGTTCCAGGTGACGAAGAGGGGGGACTCGGAGATTTCCTCGGCTTCGTCGTCGTCGTCGTCGTCGTCGGCGGCGAGGGAGTCGGTGGAGGTTGCGGGGGTCTCGGCGGAGAGGGAGATGCTGGACCCGGAGGAGGCCGAGGCGGAGTCGCTGGAGGGTTCGGCGAGGCGTTGTAGGGCCGGGAGGAGCTTCTTGCCGTCTTTGCCGTCACCGAGGCCGGGTGACAGGGTCTTGGCGTATTCGGGCCATGATTGTTTGATCTCCTTGAGGGACAGACCCGGCCGCCTCTCCAGGTGCGAAGCCAGAGCCTCGAAGCAGTAGAGGCAGTGGTCCACGGAAGCCATGAGCTCGTTTCAAAAGAATATGGCGAGTGATCTGAGGTGACAGTGGTGGAGAGGGGTGGCGTGTCTTAGGGAATAACACGGAGAGCTACAGAGCGTTCCGAAGAGTTGATCTCAGGCTGGCGACTGCACGAGGTTTAGCAGGGGACGCGGAGATGGACGAGTTTTGCAGTATTCGAGTACGAAATTGGAGTAGAATGAGATGAGGATGGCGAGGAGAGCTTCCTCCAAGTCAGGTCAGCTCGGCCTGGGGAGGGGCTGCCTGCCTTCGAGCATTGCTCAAGGTGCTGATCGGCGCTACGTACCGTGTTAAACCCCACTTCAGATAACGGAACCCCGCGATTTGGCCCCGGCGGTTGTGCAGTTATGGGGCAGTTATGTCGTGCAATGTCACTGGGCATAATTTGCACAGCTCAGTTGTGCGGTGCTGTGCAGTGACTGACGCGGGCTCAGTGCGCCTGCGCCACATCATGTGAGCCACAAAGAATAAGCCACACCTCCTGTCCTCTGGATGAGCTAAGCTGGCACGCCGAGTTCTTGTGTCGATGAGGAAGCAGACGCTAAAAATATCAACGGGCCGCTCTAATGATTTTCCCGCATCAAACTCTCCCTGACGTCGACGGAGCAAGGGTCAGCCAGTTTCGAAACCCCCCCTGAACAGGAATGACACTGGTCCGAACGCCTTCTTCATCCCGTCATTCCGCTGTCGAAGAGTGAGCCGTCCCTGGAACCGGTCTGTTTCTCTTCCCTCTCGCAAGGACGAAAAGTCTGGACCAAACCCACGTCCCGGCTGCGCACCATTCCCACTGATCAACCTCAAAGCCAAGCTTCACGAATAAGGTACACCGGGGTGAAGACTTGGCAACATGCAGCGGCCGGGGTAGCGTCGCCCGCGTCCCTTTCCCATGGACCATAACCCCCGCCTTCCCCTGCTGACTTTGCTACCGGAACTTGCTGAAAGCGAGCGTCTTGCTGTCTGATCTTCGTTCGTCTTAGCCTTGGGCAGCAGGGGTTGCGGCTTGCGAGAGATGGGCTTCTGTGACAACGGCACTCATTTTGACTAGTGGGGCCACTGCTACGCGGCTTCTTCGTCACAGCCCAGTTTCAGACGTTGCCCCATCGTCCCCTCTGGACGCCCTTTACTCCCGCGATCAAACCTCACCCCAAAAAGATGCCGATCTATCCACTTCCCTGACGTGGGCTTGAAGCAGAAACCAGGCGGACGGGCTGGGGAAGAAGGAAGAGGCGGGAACAGAGGAGGAGCAAGAGGAGGAGCAAGAGGAGTCTTCAGAAGATGGGGATGGGCCAGCCAGTCAGCTCCTTGTCACTGTCCCATGGTTTTCTTTACCAGTTTAACTCTCTTGTTCCAGGTCTTGGCATCGTTCCTGTTAGTGCGGCTGACACGCCGGGAAGTCCCTTCTTTTCCATCCACATCGAACTTGGCCCCGTCTGGAAGAGCTCGCGGTTGCCTCCTTCGTGGACCAGGGCCATGTCAAGTCGAGAGGAGGTGGGGGAGGTCGCGGCGACCACGGCCAGGGATGGAACCGGGCGTTGGGAAGCCCTGACCGCTTAGTCTCAACTTTGATGGTGCGGGAGCGACAGGACTGTAAAGTTCCAGTCAGAATTTGGATGGCAGATCTGCGTGTGTGTGGCCGTGTAGCCGTGCGGCTATCGATGTCCTCGTCTATAGCGTCCTTGTCTGATGTGTGATGTCGATGGTGATACTTGGCACAGAGGGACCCCCTGAGGGGGACGGGGGGCTAAGGTAAGGTATGTGGGCTTTGTCGATAACATACAAATACGTCCGTCTCCTTGCCGTGTTCTGTTTCTCTTGATATTGCTAGTCAACCAACACTCTCTCAACGTACTTGACTTTTACCAACCTTCTCTTCTTGTACAACTGATCTGCTCGTCGCCGGCCGACCACTCGTTCGATTCAACCAACCTTTCCAACCAACCGTCAAAATGAAGTACTCCGTTTTCACTCTTTTCGCCGTTGCCGCTGCCTTCGTTGCTGCCGCTCCTACCGAGAGTACGTTGGCATCTCGACTTGGATATCATGGATGAACATGGCGTATACTAACATGAGCCCAGTGGTCGAGAAGCGCCAGGCTGCTTCCACCGTTCCCGTCAACGAGGCCGCCATGACGGACGCCAACGGCAACATCGTTCCCTTCAACACCGCCGGCGTCTACCAGGCCAACAAGGAAGCCGGTCTCTAAACGGTTCAAACCAACTCGACTTGAAGAGGGGAATTTGAGCAATATAGACCGCTGGACACTATCACGAACTGCAACACGAACAACACAATATTATTAAACACGTCCGTAAACTCGTAATCTGGCGAAAATACCGGGATGGAGGGTTACAGGGCGATATAGGCATCATGGCAAATCAAACAACGATTTTGGCTTTACTTTGAATTTTTTTTGGGACCGGAATCAACGGAATGGGTGACAGACAATATTCCCCCGCCTTCTGTGGCAGATAATTCTGAATATAACTTGGCAGTCAGTAGTACGCCGCTATGCGGTTATCGCTGGCTGTCGGCCTTTTCTTCTCACAGAAATCTCTCTGACAGTACCTCATGCACTTCCTCCTTTCCGCGCTTGCCTGAGCAGCATTATGTCTGATGTCTGTCAATCAATGCGCCAGCCGAACTGTCACTCACCATCCATCACGTCAAACTGACTCGGCAGGTGATCAGCCTCTCGAACATGACCGGAAAGAGGAAGTGGCCCGACGACGGTTGCTATTTTCTGCTTGCTGGGCACTTGGGAAGACCCAGGCTCGAGAAAGACCAGAACTTGGCTGTAAGCTTAAACGTGCCAAACCCACTCCATGTGGGCGGCGGCAGGGGTGCGCCCTGAGAGGGGCATGCGCAGTTCGCTTCAGACGCCTGGGGCAGTGGGCACAACGGCCTGTCTCCACGACTCTACGAGCAGCGAGGAACTGGGGGCCCGGTTTTTCGTCTGGTCGCTCAGCCACGCTTCATCTTGCGAAGCGGGCTTTCTTGCTGCTTTGATACAGCTGCTCCGCTGAATAGCCATGGCCTATGGATGCTGTGTCGAGGACGGGGTTCGGTAATGCGACTGCCTGTTTCTGGATGTTCCATGGGTTCTTTGTTTTTTCCAGCGGAGGCTGAGTGTATTCGCTGCACGTTGACACTGACCCGAGTCTCTGGTCTGTTGGAGCCGTTTTGGTGACTGCAGACAGGGCCGCTCCACACCGCCTATACGCAATGGTCAAAGGTCGATAACAAGCGGTCAGAATCGTTTGGGGGCTCATTAGTGTTTGTAGATGATGTTTCGTTGGTGTTGGGGCGATTTTTCGGAGGCGTGGTGCAGCCAAGGACGTTACATTCCGGGCATCTGGGTCACTGGCAACTTCAGATTTGTCGGCTAATGGAGGGCGATCCGACGAAAGTCAACTATCGATGATACTGCTTCTTGACGAGCTGACGTCTTTGACGTGAACGTGACGTGACGAGCGGATAGCAAGGATGGCTGCCATGATATGGCCAGGCGTCCCATTCGTGCCTTTGGCCTTTGACGAGTGAGGTATCGTCTGAAACTGACTGCTTGACTTGGCTGCTCGTCAAGTCATGCCGGTCGGTCGATGTTCTAATAACGGCGTGCTTGATGCTCTATGGCGATCTTTCATGCTTCCACGTCGCTCTTCCACCGTCACAGGCGTTCAGATGATGTCCTCTCATTTGATCAGCGAACGAGAGCATTGACATTGAGTGTTCCATTTGGGACATTGTTTGGGTCGTCTAAAGGAAAACATTTAAGGTTGAAGAGGTAAGAAAAAAGGCGAAACAGAGATGGAAGGCACAGACGAGAGACAGAAGCAACAAGGTAGCGACCCACTTTCCAGTTTCCATGGCTTGGGAACTGGAAGGCACGATGGTCAGCACAGTGCACAGCCACCTCTTGTCACCTCAGGCGTCAACTCGACTGTTTCTTCCACTGTCTTCCAATTCCGCACTCAACTCCACCATGTCTTGGTCGTTTCTTTTGACCAAAACCGTCTGGTAGCCGATGGCCGCGACTGCAGACAAATCAACAACAATCTTCCGAACTCCCTGCCCTACTATGCCACACTATTGCACCAACGGCAGAAGCAATGGGTACTTGTTCCGTGGTGTTGCCGTGTCGGGCCTCAGAGTCACATTCAATGCAACCAAGTGGATTAGGGACAGGCCCAACCTCAATTAAGCTCGTCGTACACAATCCGACCTCGCCATTGCATCTCACCTTTCCCATCTACAGTCCTCGTCGAGGAAACCTCGCGCAAATTTCTCATGGAGATCTGCAGCCTTGATGGATCACAGCCTCAACGTCGCATGCAAGGCCAGCATAAGCGAAGAACAGATTGCGCTAGAAAGCAGGGACCGGAAGATGTCTCTCGTCCCTGGCGTCAGCAATGAGACGCTCGAATTAGCCTCGAACTAGGCCGCTTTCAACATCACTCCCCACCCTGTCAGCCCTGCTGAAAATGCCATTGGTTTCTTGGGGGAGGAGACCAGAGCTTAGAAGAGCCAAGGAGAGTTCACCACATCATCAAGCAGACAAACAAGACCGGCCCAGTCACCCACGTTTGGCCGTTGGACCAGCCAGTCATTGGAAACCCCTCCCCGCTCCGACATTCACTAGTTACAGCCCTCGATGATTCTGCTCGGCAAACCAGCGCCCCCAAAGACGAATAAATGTGTCTGCCTGTGCCGCAAAATGACACAATTTCCAATAGGCTGGGCGGGGAATCTCACAAGTGGACCGGTTTTAGTTGATTTTGCCTGCGCAGCCACCACAAGCGCGTCTCATGCCCATCGACAGCCGATCCTGAAGGAGGACGACAAGCGCGTAGCGAGATGAAGTCGGAGCCAACCTTTGATCTGCCCGACCCTCCACCTTGCGAGAGAGAGCCGCAACTCTGGATTTCGCGTTTCCTGTTTCGTTTGATATGAACCAGGCTGTGAAGTTGAAGGGTGCGCACTTATTGGCACTGCGGATCGATCCCCTGGACCAAAGGTCCTCTGCAGCCATCTAAGCGAGGTACCGCGCTTGTTGCCCACTCTGCGGTTGTCTGCTATGCTGTCAGCACAGCGTCCCTGGCAGTAATATGCTGCCCGTTATTGCCCAGTCGGCGGGAGATGAGATGAACATGAACTGATGGTCAGGGCCGCTTGCCTGACCGAGTGATATTGATCACATGGCCCTGGACTCAGCCGCAAACGCCATCCGATGCCTCACACTCAGTAGTGGGATGGCAGCATTCCCCCATTTGACAAACTACTCGCCCTTGCGTGGTATTCCACGGAAGGGAGCCGCGCAGGCGTAGGGGTGGTGACTGTCCTCGCGGCAAGGCGTTAGTCTCCTCCATGGCCCGAGACCTCGAGATCCCCCTAGCTTAGCTGCCAGGCTCCAACAATCCAACGATGACTAGCGGAGGACCCCCGTTGCTCCCACCGTTCTCACTGCCCAGACTCCTTGAGTCCTTCCCCAAAGGAAAGTATCCATCACGCCCGGGAGCTGGGCTTGGCTGACAAGGGGCAGCAGTGGCAGCTCACTGCGGGAACCTGAAGAGTCTGTCCAATGATACCATCGTGGCTGTATCCAGAGTACGCTTTACCGCTTTCGACCTGCGGCAGAGCGGCTCCCAACTGCCCTGGTGCCCAGCCCATCCGTCTAGGGCAGAAGTAAGTTGTGACTGGAGCGATATTTTCTGGACAGGGCCTAGTGTACCTCGATAAACTGCAGCCTGGCGGAGGGTTCCTCTTTGCTCATTTCAGACGTCCCGGCTCTCTGGAAGAGGTGGTTTTATATATAGCAATTGCAGACACACTCGAACCAAGCAACCAACTGCCAGCTGGATCGCCTCACCACAGCCTCCCTCTCCGCGCTTCTCGGGCCCGGTTCCGACTAACTACCCCTGTCGTCATTGTTATGTTTTTCATTCTGTCTTAGACCTTCAGCTTATAATTCCCTGTGATCGCCTCGAGTCGAGACTAGTCTCCCTCAGTCTCGAACAACAACATCAACTGCGGCCACCCGAGTCGAAAGCCTCCGAGGAACATCATCCTTACCACAAACAACAAACCGCAACAATGGTTCTACATCGCCAACAAGCTCAGTTCGACAGGTCAAGATGGCGCATGGCGCTGCTTGTGCCTCTTTGGATCCTTCAGTTACTCGTCTGCCTCGTCGTTGTCGCCCTTTTCTCTTGGCGTCTGTCCGATACACTAAGGAACTGGGAAACTGAGGAGGAAACAAAGGAGATGTTTCCCATGGTCGAGGTCGTGTAAGTCAGAACCGGGATTATGTTCGTCGTCAATTCTGTGTACTGACCGTGTGTAGATGGGAATCTGTCAACCTGGTCTTCTCCCTCGTCTGCCTATTTTCCACATTTTACGAAATCTCAAAGCTCGCCTCCGAAACCTTGACACCCTGGACCATGCTTTTCACCCACATCTTGAAGATCGTCTGCTCCCTGGCCGTTTTGGCCCTCGATGTCGTCGTCTTTGTGCAGAGAAAGGATAGCCACTACTCAGTCGTCGGTCTCGGCTTGGACTGTTTTTTCCTGTAAGCCACGCTGTTAATGATCACTGCCTTAAATACACAACTGACATCACATAGCGTTCTGGTTGCCATCCCGGGTATCTACTCGATCCAGACTTACCGCCGACTCGCCAAGTACGACGACTACCACTACCCCGTAAACCACAAGCCCTACGGTTTCAACGACCTCGAAGGCGAGACCTACTATAACGGACGCCTCTCCATCGGCGGCCTCAGTCTCGCAGACCGCTCCCTCCGCCGGATATCGACATCACCCACAAAGTCATCGACTCAAAAACAGGAAACACCACAGATGGCACAGCAGCAGCAGGAATCCGAAGCGACCTCACTCCAGCGCATACCCTCGCAGTATAACAACGAAAGAGACACGCAGTTCGACAGGTACATGGTAGAGCGCGCCATGAACAACGAGTTCGGTTGGGCGAACAACAGCAGCCCCGGCGCGGATCCCCTCGGCCGCAGCGACAGCTACGTCGGCAGCGGGTCCATGGCGAACGGAAAGGTCGTCACGCGAGAGAGCGTGGGCCGCGCGCCGAGCTGGGGCAGCTCGCATGTTCTCGTCGCTGTACCGGAGATGGACGAGGAAGAGGCGGCGCACGGTCGTGGGGGAGACAGGCAGGCACTTCTGGGACACAGGAGGCAGGACAGCGATGACAGTCTCGGACCCAGCAGCCCACCGATTTTGGCGGCTATGCCACCGAGGATCGAGATTGAAGAGTCGGATATTGTTGGTGCGGGTAGCGGGGAAAACTCGTGGGAGAGGAAGCGCAAGAGGAGCCAATGATCGACTCGGTTCCGTACTTCTTAAACTTGCGGGAGTCAAGAGAGGACGGTTGAAAAAAAGGTGAATGGATATACCCTTCTGATTTTCGGATTTCCTTTTCTTTCGTTTCTTGCCCAGACGCACGACGTCTGATTGCATTCTTGTATACTTTTCATCTCATATACCACACGGATCACGGCGTTCCTGGTTGGATCAGACGACACCAAAAGGGGGAAAAGATGGGATGGAAGAGAGGTCCCAATGTTTACGAGCTACGGCTTCATTATATATAACTCTCGCTATTATTTGAAGACATTTATAACTGAACAGCATTACACTTGTTTTATGATGCTTACGTCTCAACTTTTCTTACCATCTAAAAGTGCCTACTGTGGTAGGGGTCGAGTTGGGTTGCGCCGAGCACAGAAAGCATACATGATGTCCATGGGGCCGAACTGTTGAGAGGCGATGCAGCTAAGGACAGCGTGATGTTATCATTCTGCTTGCTGACATCAAGAAGCTTCCTCATCTTCGCGAATTCAACCCTCTTACCGTAAATCGATTCTCGTCAATCAACTATGGGCTACCTTACACCTCTTCGAACGTTATCTATTCTGAGAGAACCGACTTATCATGAACCAAAGCATACACCAGCACGTAGACATCACAAAAGATTGCACTTGAATCTAGGCAGGGACCCGGCTAAGACCTCTCACTTCCCATACCCGCTCAAAGATACCCTACAAGGATACCCATCCGTAGGATGCGCAGCGCCCGCCTCCACCATGAAAACCCTCTGCCCGCCCAACCCGCTCGTATCCATCTTCTTGCCACTGTCAATCTCGCTATAACAATCCCGGATATCAAAATCCCGCACCACGCACGCCAGCACGGCCCTCGCCTCCGTCATGACAAGCTGCTGGCCCACACACAACCGCGGGCCGTACTCGAAGATCCGCCAGCCGCCCTTGGGCGGGTACAGCTCATCCTTCGGATCCGTTGCGAGCCACCTTTCAGGCAGGAACTCGTCCGCCCGGGGCCAGTACCGGGGGTTCCGACCAATGGCCCAGTGCAGCATGTTAACGGCGATACCGTCCGTCGGGTAGGCATTACCCTCGGCATCGTGCAGGACCAGATCCGCGCAGCCCTGCCGGATGCCGCCCGCGGGCGGGAAGAGGCGCAGGGATTCCTTGATACAGGCGTTTGTGTATGGTAAGGCGTTAAGCAGGGCCGGGTTCTCCGCGATTTTGGCTGGTGCCGCAGAAACGTCGGTGCCAAGGACGGCGTCGTGTTCTGCGCGGACGCGGGCGAGGACGGCGGGGCGAGAGGCGATGTTGTGCAGGCAGTAGACTATCGTCGCGGCGGAGGAGTCGTAGCCCGCGAAGAAGAACATGCGCATGTTGCGCGTCATGAGGGAGAGGTAGGCCGCGTCTAGCTCTCCACGCCCCGCGTTGCCGGGCTGCGCGAGCCAGTTCTCGAGGGCGCTGTCGAGGACGGATTGGAAGTTTTCAGACTTGTCGCGGTTGTGGGCTATGTTTTGGAGGAGGGTGGCGAAGCGGGCATTGAGTTGGTGTTTGATGTGGTTGTCGAGGACGCGGCCTCCGTTCCAGGTGCGGAAGAGGAGGAACGGGTCGATTGGGACGAGGAGGTTTTCGGGCTTGTGGGAGGTGAATTTGAGGCGGAGCTGGCCTTTCATTGCTTCGGCGAGGGGGTGTTGCTGTTTCTGGGTTTTGAGGCGGACGTTGAGGAGGACTTCGCCGATGACGTCTGTGATGAGGTCTAGCATTAGGGGTTCTAGCCTGAACATGTCTCCCTCGCCACCACCCTCGCCCTTGCCCTCGGAGGAGGAGGAGGAGGAGACCCTTGCGCGCAAGCGGTCGGTGAAGGTGGCGATGTTGCCGAGGATGATGGGCACAGCAGCAGTAATATTCTGGTTGCTGAAGCTGGGGCTGAAGAGGGCGTGGAGGTTCTTCCACGGCCGGCCGTTTGTGTCGAACTGGCTCGGCCCGCCGGTGATGGGGTGGAACCAGCCGACGAGCATGGGGGGTTTCTGGGAGCCGGCAACGGGGTGGTAGACTGTCTGGTGGGCCATGTCCGGGTCCGTGACGACGAGCATCGGGTCGGCCATGGGCCAGGTGTCGATGTAGTAGGCGCCATTTTTGCCGTGGAGCTCGCCTAGGCGGGCGAGGGCGTAGCTTGCGTGGACGCCGGGCGGGAGGGTGTCGAATGCTTTCTTGGCCTCGAGGAGGTTGCCGAAGAGGAAGGTGTGGGGGACGATTGGCTGGGTATTGTTGTTAGTTTGGATGCGTGTTGTTGGTTACAGCCAGTCTCATGCTCATAAGGTTATGAGGCGTCATGAGAGGGAGGAGAACTCACTAGTCCCTGTTTCCTCAGCTCGTCCATCTTGCCTCGATGCATCCTCAAAAGCTTAACGAAGTACAACACCGATCCCACGGCGGCGACCAGGATGGCCGCCGTGAGGGATCTCAGGATGTAAGCCAAGACTCCGTCCATGTTGTGCGACTCGATGTTGAATATGAGATATGTCACCAGCCGGTGGATGTCTCGGGAGTGTAAGCCACGCCGGATCCACCTGGTACCAACTGTCGCGATGCAAATTTGTCCAAGCAACGGGCACGTGCTAGTAGCCCCCAAAAACGCCTCCAACTTGTCGACACCGTCGTCGCGTGGCACAGGTTGCAATCTCCAACGGTGTCCGTGTGCGACGGGCGGCTGAATTGAACTTTTAAACTTTTTGAAAGAAGTTCACCCGAGTATTCAAGCAGAGATATTTTGAGATGCAGTGAAAACGGCACCGTCAGCGAATGAAGTCCGCGCCGATTAAGGCTCCCGCGTAAGCACGGACTCCGTATCCGACCCTCCGTCCGGAAACCTACGTCTTTTCTCTCCTGATTCGTTGCAAGCTAGGTATTTAATTAAGGTTCGCTAGAGCTCTATGGACCACACCGTAGGATACGGATGGCTGAAGGGGGATTCGGGATTCAGGGGCCCCGTTGAGGCCCTGACGGGTTGTCAGTTAATCACCCCGGGAAATTAGGCCACCTTCCACAATGATCTTAACACATGAATGAGTAGGTTCGCGATAGACGAGATTGCATCAGATTGCTTCAAATTCACCGTCTCGTCAAAGTAAGATTGTAATAAACAAATCAAGTTGGGTATTTATTAATGCCTCTACAGTGATGATTGTCAGAATGCAAATCCCAATTTTCTTTTGAAGAGAATTCCATGATACGCCAGTGTTGTACTGTGGTGCCTTTTTTCCCCTTTCCCAATCCCGTGATTCCCAGTTTCCCAAACTCCCGTCTCCAGAATACAATGCCGAGTAAGGTAAAAGCACGGGGTAAATGGTGTGCTGCATCCTTCAGGGCAACAAATGAAATGATGTTGTAAAACGCTGCCTTTCGAGTCTGCGTAATTGACCCTGGCGCTGAATAATGTATCGAGCAACTTTTCCTTCGCGGGCTTATTGGTGTACCTAAGTACACATGTTGCGATCCGATCAAGCCTCGGCAGCAAGGGCATGCGGGAGGATTCCCATCAGCCTATGGCGCAGAACGAGGCGTGACTATCTTTCGGACCAAGTGGCTGATGCTGAGAGATTGCACAACGAAATGTTGCGTTGCTTCTGCGCTCGCGTGCCCACCAAGACCGGCGTGAGTGAGCAAATCGCTGTGAAATGAGATAGCTCAATGAATGACCTTCTCTACCTCGGCACGCCGCCGGCAAGGCCAACAGCAACGGACGATGTCAAGAACTCCAAGTCGTCGTAGGCCTGGCGCTTGCAGCCCCGTGGCGGTTTCCCCTTGACAAACCCATGGCTGTAAGCATCGCCGAGGACGCTCAGGTCCGTCGTCGAGTCCTCAGGCTGGTCGAGTCTGCGCACGACGACCAAGGACGACGCGTGTGACATCATCCAGACCTCGTCACCTGGCCTCGTTTGGTTGGGGACCAGTACAAGGGCGCCGTGATCTTGGGTCAAGGCTACGCGCCTGCTGCGGTCCTTGACAAAGGTCTCGAGGAAAGGGATGATGGGTTCTGTGCTTGCGGCGAGGGGGCCTCTGCCTGAAGCAGCATCGGAGAGCAGATTCCTGTCGTCGAGAGCCCAGAACTGGCGGAACGAGTCAGGGTCTTCGCCGGCGCCTACGGCTTGCTCGAAGTCACCAAGACCGGTCAGGCCATTGAGAACTGGGCTCAGGAACCTGCTGAATGATTTGACGATCTCGTCTCTGGTGAATCCTTCGGGGTGTCGGTCCGTTGTTGTCTTGTTGAGGTTGTCGCCTGATAGTGTCCGCAAAAGGGTGTTCATGCGATGTTCTTCATCGGGGGTTGGTGAGCGCATCTTGTAGACGAGGGTCAAGAGCTTGACTAGCGGTAGAAGCTCCTTCATGTGAAACAGCTCTTCAGATATCTCGACAACGGTGTCAACATAAGTGCCTCCTAGCTGGACCTGCTCCGAGAGAAGATTGCTGGCAGGCATCGTCTTATTGGGTGAGAGATTCATCGTCGTGGGCGTGGATGTGAGCGTGAGCGTGAGTAGGAGATGGGATGGTTGGGTGGATGGTGTGCCGTGTCAGTGAAGAGTGACGGGAACGAGAACAGGCACGAAGACTTGGCGTGGCAGGAAGGGGAGGTATATATGAAGAAACGAAGGGCCCAGACTGTCGTCACTGTCCGCAACGGCGGGTCATAGTGGCCTTATCTAGGCGAGCCATGAGTTTCCGAGCTACCGGGAGTCTGGCAGCAAGGGTTTGGTACATGGGAGAGGACAAGGGCACCAAGTAGGTAGGGGATTGTGTAATTAGACGAGAGAGACTTGAGAGCGCGTTTGCGCCTGCTTCTTCCTATCCGGGGAGCGAGTCCGGGGAGACTAAGTTGGCGTGGTTGCGTAGACCGGCGGGGCCAGCTGGATGGGAAGGGCAGGATGTGCGGGTGGGAGTGGGCTTGGTGCCGGTACTGATGGGGCCAAGGAGGGCCACGATGTCATGCGTTATGGAGACGGGTGAAAGCTTGAATATCCGTGGAGCTGTAGCTGGTGAGCTGCCTGCTGTGTATCAGTGAGGTATCTAGCTAATTGTGTGCGGAATGATGTCCATTAGTCGTGCAGAAATGTCAGAATGAATGTCAAGGTTCGCGTCAGCCGCTTGGCACTGGGGTAGTCTGCATCTTGGTGGCCGCATTGTGACTGGTCTACTGCGAGGTACGGGCAGAATGAGTGTAGATAAATGTAACTGCATGCATGTACTCCGTACAGTGTATCCAGAAGGTAAGCAAGGATAAGACTGATATCCGTGCAACGGCACATCCAGGCCGTAAAAGTAACAGACAGAGTACACAAGGCAGACTCGGGCTGACGGGGAGAAAGATTAACAGAAGTTTGAGCCTTGAGGTTAAGGTAAGTATCAAGTCAACGTATCAGGTAAACGGAAGGTAAGGGGGAAGAGACGGAAAAAGTCTGGCAGAGATGACGTCGAGTCGGGTCCCGCTTTTGACGGGTCCCCGTTGAGTTAGCGCTGCACCTCAGTTACCTGACGGATAGAAATTAGGGGCAGGAACCGGGTACACGGACATTTTGGGTACCTTCCTTGCTTGCCTGCCCTTGCCCGCCCCTGGGCCTGCCACCCTGCGTGCCTGCCTCATGTCGGGTCGCTTCAGGGTCCGCTCATCCAATGTCAAATGTCCAACGTTTGAACCGGAACTTGTTCACGGACGCATCATGGACATGAAGCACAGTCCTTTCAGTCCGTCCGTCAATTTCGAGCCTTTTCTTCATTTCTTCATCTCGCCTGAGACGCAGCATCGAATTAGAAACATATGTCTACGAGATGAATCTTGTTTACGGATACAGCAACCAACAATCCCAGCGAGTCAGCAAAGGCATGTCGGCCATGCAGCCTCGGAATGCAAGCCAAAGGCTCCTGGGCAGCAAAGGTGCAGATGAAGGCGCTGACGACTGACGACTGACTTGCCGTTCAAACGGTCAGAGTTCAACGATGATGTCAACTTGTCTCGCTTGTTCCGGCGACGCGGCACCAACCAGTATCCGTGTGTGCCGTACGGTACAATTCGTCGGCCACGGTGATCTGCCACCCCCGCGTTGATCACTCCTACGTCTCTCCCTGTCAGCCAACTTCAGACGATTCAGATCCTTCAACGTGAACCGTGTCGTGTCGTCTCTTCCAATTCGTACCATCATCATTGCTCTACGCCTTGTTCGACTTCATCCATCGCCGCCGGTAACACATCTTCAAGGGTCACCAATATGGTCAAAGTCCTCATCATCATGGCCGACTACGGCCATGATCCCACAGGTAGGTGATCTCCATCATCCTTCCGCTCGTCCACGCATCCTATCCCGCCCATCCCCTCAACGCCAAGTCCCCGACTTCGTCCCGGTCCTTGTCAGACTCCATCTCCGTCCCCCCTAATCCTCTGGCCCCGCACCAGCTCCAATCGTCCAAACATGGCAAAAACCCTTACTCTACGGGATCTGAGTTACGAACCGCAAAGCTAATCTCTCCCTTCTTGCTTCGCAGAGGTTGCAGTCCCCTACCAGGCCTTCAAAGATGCAGGATTCGACGTAAACTTTACAACCGAAACGGGTTCAATGCCCCGCTGCGATGCCCGGATGCTCGAGGGCCTCTCCCAGAAGCTTCTTGTACGAAGATCCCCTTTCTCAACATGTTGACAACGTCATTGTTTTTAAACGTCAACGCAATTGCACGTCGAGCGCTTGCAAATTCCTCCCTTGACCAATATCCCGCCTTCCCCCCACCCGCCGAGGCCCAGCAATCTGGCGATGGAATAGAGTTGACCTGCTACCCGTCCAACAGGGCGCCGCGGCCTCCACGAAAAAGCTCTATGATGCTATGGTCAAATCCGCCGAAATGCAGGACCCCTTGTCCTGGACTTCCCCGGGCTTTACGCTCGATGATTTCGACATTGTGCATATTCCTGGCGGTCACGATAAGGAAGTCAGGCAGCTCATGGACTCGACCACTGCTCAAAAGCTACTGGCCGACTACTTTCCCCAGACCAAAAAGCCGGGCAAGAAGATTGTCTCGGCTATCTGCCACGGCCCGCTGGTGCTCTGCAACACCAAGGGTCAGGACGGCAACAGTGTCTTGTACCATTGTACGACGACGGCCTTGCCCGGATGCTTCGAGTCGCTGGCGTACCAGGGAACCAGGCTGTTTCTGGGCGATTACTACAAGACGTATGGTGCGGGCACGGAGAACGTCGAGGATTCGGTAAGCAGACGGTTCGGATCAAGGAACTCGACTTGCTCAGGTGCTTATTGTATCAGATGCGCAAAGCGGTGAAAGATCCCAGTCAGTTCAAGAGCAGCTGGGTGCCCAACCGACCGTTCGTGTGCCCCCCATCGGCGGAAGCAACCACATTTGCTAAACATTCATTACAGCTTCGTCGTGGAAGACACAGAGTACAACTACATCAGCGCACGCTTTCCACCCGATGCGGCAAAACTAGCCGAAATGACTGTCAACCTTGCCCATCTCGTCCACGTTCAAGGCTTCAAGGGTCAAGACCCGACTCCGGCATAACATGCCGAACAGGCACTAAGCTTTTAAGCTTGTCGTCTACGTGGCATCCTTCTCGCACCCGTCGTCATCATTAGCTCTGGAAACGCGCATTGCAGTTGCAGCCGGAGGATGAGACTTGTTCGATGGTTTCGTTTTGTGAATCAGCTTGCGTGCTATAGGGATCTTGATGCGAAAGGCCCATGGAGCACAAGTTCCCAGTTTGAATGACATCAATGTCGTCATGGTGATCTATCCCAGTGTTGAAAGTTCGGGGAAAAGGACTAGCACTGTCCCCGGCTTGAAATAAGCTCAGAGACCGTTGCCAACGTGATGTGGATACATGGAGTCCAGCATGATGCTTGAAGTGAATCCTCCTTTCCATCTTGCAAAGCGACACCGAGGCGGCAAGTAAAAACCTTGCCAGATCTACAACTCGAAGCGATTGCTTTTTACAACACTACTTTGAGAGCTCCGCGATTCTTTGCAGAGCTTCATCAACCCCTCGGGCCACAATCGTTGGCTCGGTGTCGATAAGGCTGCCCAATGCATCAACCCACCCCGTCCCGGCCCGGTCGATCCACGCAGACCGCCACCCGACCGCTCTCGCACCAAGCGCATCAAACGGATTTGAACTAACTAGCCAAATGTCGCCCTCTCTACCGGTCATACCCACCGTCTCCGCAAAGTGCCGGTACGTTGCCGGAGCGGGCTTGAAGCACCCCGCCCCCTCAACAGTCACCAACTTCTCGGGCCCAAAGATGCGGCTCTTACGTTGGTTGATTTCGGGGCAGGTCCTAATGGACGCGCCGACCATGTCATCCGTCCCGTTGGAGAATACATATGCGTCGATGGAGTCGTCCCCTTCGACGATGCGCATCGCCGGCTCTATGTCCGGAAAGGCTTGAAGACCGTTATAGGCTTCCATCAGACGGTCTTCGTCCTCCTTTGAGAGAGGCGACTTTTTCCTCTCCGCGACGGCGTGCTTTAGTGCTGCGCGTGTGATTTCGGAAAATGGACGGTATGTGCCTAAATGTGTCTCATCGTCTCAGTCGGCTACTAGGTACTTTTTGCCTTGCGAGACTCGCACTGCGGTACGAACCCATGCTGTTTATGCGCCAAGTGTACTCGAGTTGGTACCGTCGCCACTGTGCCGCGAGAGTCTTGGCTTCGTCTTCGTCGCCATAGAGCTCTGCGAGTTGCTTTGCGATGGATTCGGTTGATAGGAGAGTGCCGTATAGGTCAAAGGCGATGACCGTCTTGGGCTTGTCCTGCGCCATGTTGCTCAGTGGCCTAGATTCACCAGTGTCAAAGTCAAGATTCTGTTGCCGGTCAGTATGAGATGAATCCTCTATAAAGAATTCGCAAAATGAAGTCGCGATAGTTAAGGTAGGTGAGAGAAATGTCGTCCGAACGCCTCTCGATCATAGCGACTTCCGTCACCAAAAACGCGGGGGAGAGGACGGGGCACTTATACCCGGGGCCCCCGCTCCCCGCAAAGACGCGCTAAAGCGCCCTAAATGTCGCCTTCCGTTCGAACGGATCGTGAGGTGACCACCGAGAATCAACGTCGACTCAACGTCATCGATTCACGCCTTCTCACCTCGTCTCACTCACACGCCTCACGAGAGAAATCTCATCTCACAGAGTCGAAACTCACCACCACACATGACAAGATGAGAAATCCCGATGAAGAAACACTCCAATTTGAAACATTACGAGATTGCCTCTCAGCCGCCGTCGTAGAACGCGTGACAAAACCAGCACCAAAACCAAAACGCCGCTCTAAAAAGACAAACCCCCGCCGGCCACCCAAATCTCAACACGATGCCTCATCGGCCATCACTAGCGTCGGTGACGAAGATGAAAACACCCAGGTGGACGCAGACGACATGATCGACTTCACATCTTACCTCGCCTCCGAAACCTTTGACTCCTTCCCCCCAGACCTCAAATTCCTATCCCACGCAACCCACACAGCCGATCCGTCCCTCCAACAATCCCGCTTCCCCCTATCCCTAACCGGCGCCGACGTAGCGGACCTCTTACCCACCTTATCCTCAGACGTCGCCGACTCCCTGGCGGCCTACCACATCGTCGACCCGGCGAAACAAGGCGCTCACGAGTTTTTAGCGCCCGTGTTGACGGAGTACATATCCGCCCTCGTCGCGCCGCCGCCTCCGCCGCGGTCGACGCGGGATTCTGTGGAGGGGTGCGAGCTGTGCGGACGGGACTGGATCGGGTTGACGTATCATCATCTCATTCCGCGCATGGTGCACGATAAGGTTGTCAAGCGCGGATGGCACCGCGAGGAGGAGCTGAATAATGTCGCGTGGTTGTGTCGGCTGTGTCATTCTTTTGTGCATCGGTTTGCGGGGCACGAGGAGCTTGCGAGGCAGTATTATACTGTTGAGTTGCTTCTTGAGCAGGAGGAGGTTGTGAGGTTTGCGCAGTATGCTAGTCGGGTGAGGTGGAAGGGTAAGTGAGGGCATCAGTTGAGTCGAAGTTTGGAGTTTGGAATGGGAAGCGAAGGGGATGAGATTTGCCATTGTCTTGCTCCCGGGACTACCCAACGAGCGTTACGAGAGCTCAGATCCGCCTGCTTCTTGCTTTTCGATACCTCGTCTTATTGCCTGTCCAAGCAATTCCCTCGTACAACCCCGATGAATCTCATCCAGTCGCTTCAAGACCTTGAGGACACCCAAAGCGTCATCGACCAAGCTCACACCATTCCATTGCCTCCACCCTCGACCGCCTCCCGCCGCTCCTCAAAGATATTCTCAGGCGACGTCGGATTACCACACGCCAAGGGAGCATATTTGAGACAAATCCTCCGTCGCTGAGGATTACAGCAGTAATTCCACACGCACGCTTCGTCCGTGTTGCAACCACTCGACGAGGTACATGTCCTGGCCTCGGTGCACTCCTTCTTCTCGACGCAGACCTGCCTTCGACCCCCTCCGTTGTTGTTCCCTCCCGCCTCGCGAAGACAGGTGCAAAAGGTGGCCGGCGCTCCGCCGCCGCCGCCGCCGCACCGGTAGACGTTCACGCCGTCAAAGGGGCAGTCGCGGGCGCCGCGGCAGCCCGGGTTGGCGTATTGGGTTGCTGTGACGGTGGTGACTGGCGCCGGGAGGGTTGTTACGGAGGGCGTGATGGACCAGCAGCTGCAGGCGGAGGAGTAGGCGCTGAGTCCGGCGCAGGATGATGCGTAGGAGGGGACTGAGGTTGGAGACTGCGTGACTGGGGCGCGGGTTGTAGACTGGGAGAAGGTGGTGGTGGGAGTTGGAGGGATGTTGTCGGTGTAAACTGTGGTGGTGACGGTTGAAGTGCTGTTGGGCCATGTTAGAGCCATGTCCGCGGTCTCATAGTGGATTGGGAAAATGGCACTTACAGTGTGTCCGGGATGACGGTGGTCTGCATGTAAGAGGAACAGTCTGAGCGGCGGGATGAGATGTCCACGGGGATACCGGCCCTGGTGCCAGTTACGGCACGGGCGCAGTTATCGTTGTTGCATCTCTGAGCATTAACGAAGGAGATGAGACCTATGATGGCAATTGTGATATACTTCATCTTGATGACGGGATTGTATCTGTTGAGTTGTTGATGATTCAATGGTGATTGAGCGCAATATCAAACGAGATGTGGAGGGCTATTTATCCAGCATTGAATCTAAGATGCAAGATAGGTCGAGAGATCTCGCTGATCCCAGTCTAAGCCAATTGCAGCCGTCTTTGGTAAAGGTGGCACAATCAACTTGGACAGATGCCAACGAATGAGACCCGGCAACACCAGCTGAACATGAAGCCATCGTGGGATTATAGACCAGAAACACAGCTGGGAACTGCGAAGCCGAAGTGAGATTGCACGAGCGGTGTCTTGCTAGATGAAGTCAATCACAAAGGTAACGCTGTCAAGTCTCATGTTGAGTTGCGGTCTCAGTTTCCCATTACCCCAGAAAAGGGGCTGCTGCGCAACACTGTGTATCCGATACCTGATTTGCTCATTCTTGGTCCCTACTCGAACCGAACACTGTTGAAAAGAGACAACAGGGTCTATTGAGACTGTTTCGGATCGGCGGTACCTGAGCAGGCGCAGGACGCGTTGATCAGCTGAGCTGCTCGGTTCGAGTGTAAGTCTGAGTCGAGGCAACTTCAGCCGCACTTCGATCCATCGATCATTTTCCCAACTACCGTCGTATCTCACGACCAAGACCTTGTCTCACAGTAATAGCAAAGATTGTTCTTCCACACGACGAGTCGCAAATGGTCTCAAATCGATGCCGTCGTTGGTCCAACATCATCAACACCACTCTTATCACTCTCCAACGACCCGAGACTTCTCAATAACGCATCCGACCCGGGCTCCCGACCCAGGAATTCTGTCATCATCTCCGTCTCGTCCCTGCTACCGCCGTACTCGAGAATTCCTCGTCGGTACCGGTCCCACGCCTCGGGATTACGGGGGTCCTTAGCGAAGCACGACTCGAAGAAGGAGGCCGCGAATATTTGGGCGCTTTGGTTGAGAAAAGTCAGCACTGCTCTCAGAAAGTGTAATACCGGAGCTTGGATTATTGGTAGAGGCTCTCAGCTTCCCGTGAAGTCCCGAGGAGATTATAGAAACACTTCGTTCAGCATGGGAAACGTACCTCATGTAGGCGTAGTAGCCCGCATCGTAAAGCTCAATGAGATGTGTAGAGTGAACCAGCCCGTAGCCTCTCTTATCCGGATTAGGCTTGAGCGTCATAGAGTCCTGAAGGTCGTTGTAAAGCTTCACTTCGTCCAGCTCCCTCAGCGCCTCAGTTGACTCTTGATTGTTCACCCTCATATCAAACGTGGCGAACACCCTGCCCAGCGTTAGCCGTCTGTCACTTAACCAATAACCTAGCAAAGAGGCGAAAGACGAAGCGTACAGCTGCCTGAGGAACCATAGTCCCCGATTCAGTTCTCGACTCTTGACCAAATTGTCCACTAACTCCTTTGGAAGTGTTTCCGGCGGAGGCTCTTGGCCATACGCATGGTCCTCCTTCCACTTTGTCATGTACGCCAGCTCGACGCGCGTGTAGTGCCGGCCCATCTTGACGAGCTCATCCGGCATCCAGCACCACTTCTCCAGCATCGTGCTCGGCGCCTCGCCAAAGTCGGGAGCCACGCGCGTTCCATGGAAGCGGGTGTGCTTTGTGCGGGATAGAAGGTCGTGAAGTCCGTGGCCCAGTTCTGCGTGGAACAACATCCAGTCAGTCGTGTGAACACGGGAAAGAGGCATGATGAATCACTCCCGGAGAGGAACATGAACGATAGAGGACGACGAAAAGGGGGTCGCGATCCAGGAGTACATACCGTGGAACAAGGTCACGACCTCGCGATGCTTCAACAGCGCACAAGACGCGGCTGTAGGGGGCTGAAAGGCACACATGAGCACCGTGGCAGGGTAGACTCTGGTCCCATCCTCCTTCAAGTAACCCTGTAAACGAGTAAGTAAATCTTCTTGATGGAACCCGACGGGAAAGAAGTCTCGGCAACGCACGCATTGCAGGTTGACATTGCAAGCCGTCCGGTATTTCCCTTCTCGCCAGAGAACGTCGGCGTACAGGTATCCCACAAATCCCCCCTTTCTTTCCCCTCTCCCCTCCCAGACAGCCCAAACTTGTACCTCCTCATCCCAGATCTTCCCAACTAGATCTCTCTTCGGCACAGGTTCGAACTCAAGACCCAGAAAGTCGGAGAACAAACCCAACATGGCCGATAACGTGTGGTTCAGGGGGAAATATTCGGAAATCATCTCCTGGTCAACGTCCGCCTCCTCTTCGAGAAGCCTTGTATAATACTCAAAATCCCACGGCAGAATCTTCCCTTCCTCGCTTTCCTTCTCCCCACCAACAGTATCCCCTCTAATCCCCAGATCAACTCTCTTCCTCTCCGCAACCCTCGCCATCTCTTCCCTTCCCCTAGGCTCCAACCCCTTGCTCAACCGTCCCAAGAACCCCTCAACCCACTCAGTCGACGGCGCGACCCTCCGCTCGATCCGGAAGTCCGCGTGGCTGCCGTACCCTAAAATTCTCGCGTTCTCGTCTCTGAGGATAAGCATCTCCTTGAACAGTGGCACGTTTTCGGGAAACCGATTATCAAACGCAACATACACCCGCCTCCTCGTCTCCGGGTCACGCGCATACCGCAGCACAGCGTCATAATCCGCCCTCTCCAGCGTAATAAACCTCTTACCTCTTTCCTCAGGCACATCGTCCAGCCCAACCTTCCATCTTTCCATCTCTGCTCTCGGCACACCCTCCAACTCCATCTCCGTGAACCACAGACCTCCACTACCATCATACAAATTCTTCCTAAACGCCCTCTTCAACTCCTCAATCCTCTCCCTCCGTTCCAAATACACCTCAATCCCCTTCCCATCCAAAACCCCATGCCCAGCCCCACGATAATCCAACCACAAATCCCTCACAACTCTCCTTTCCTCATCCCCAAGCCCCTTCTCATCCCTCTCCCTGACGGCGTTCACAAGCTCATATACCCCCTTCATCCGCAACCTCTCCGCCGTAGACGCAGACCAGAGCCTCATACCTTCCTCCACGGCCTCGCGCGTAGCCTTGTCTGGGCCAGAGAAGCGGGGCACGCTGAATGACCCTGTCTCGCCCTGCGTCTCGTCATCGGCGCGCAGGAGGGGGGCGATGGTGTTGGCGAAGGTTGCCTCGGAAGGCGTGATGGTCGCGGCTGCGTGTTCGCGGGCGGCGCGTTGGGTTGCGAGGACGCGTTGGACCGTGGGGATGATTTCGTCTACGGCGAGGACGCGGGCTAGGGGCTGTGGTGGTTGGCGAAGCATTGGCGCTGGGGGTTCTGGGGTTGAGTTCTGCATGTTGCATAGATGACTGCTTTGTTCGGAGAGGTTGAAGTGTTTTGTTTTTAGTTAGCTATCTAAAAAAAATTCTAGATAATATTTATTTTATACTAGCTCAAGATGGTTATCGGCATGCACTAAATCCACGATGCTATGTCTAACCCCCTTTGAATAGGGAAATCAATCCATCACAAACGAAGCCACTCTTCACCACGTGCTGCTGCAACCTCATTCTCTTACCCCTGAATCACATCCCTCGTAATACCTAATCCGTCAAAAAAGCCTCATCACAAGACACGCATCGCCAAGCTCCACCCGTCAACTTCAACACATCGGAAGCCGGTGATAGGTCGACAGGCCTCGCCCCCTTTCCCACGCCGCATTCCCGCATCACCCGGACGTTCCACACTAAAGCCGGACCCCCGCCCGCCGAGATGGACCTGTAACTTGGCCTTCCCCTCGGCGATTCGGCACCGGGGGGTTATCCAGTCACACCAATTCGCAACGGCGTCTCTCCTCCCCAAGGTGCCGATGATTGGACCGCCAGTCTCGGCACGATCGGTCACGCGAATGTCACCCCGTTCCCGCCCGCTAATCTGCAGGAAACAAGGGGCGCCTAGGAACGACAAAAGATCCTGTTCTCAGCCCCCCCCCTCCTCTATCTCTAGGTCTGCCTGATACCTACAACTTCTCATCCGCAAAGCATCAAACTCGCCATAAACACCACTCCCGCCTCGAAACCTAGAAACAAACGATCCACTTCAGCCTGGTCTCGTAAAAAGCGACAAAAGAGACTTTGGCTCTCTGACCAGCCCGTCTCCATATCTGAAGCAGTACAGTCGGCAAGCAGTTCATGCACGTCAAAAGTTCTTGACCTGCCCGCCGACTCTATTATCAGAAACGGGAAGTGTGGGTGGGTAGGTAGGTAGGGTGAGTGAGCTGGAACCATTCGCTGTCCTTGACCTGAACTGGGTCGATTTCTCGGCAGGAGCACCGAGGAAGCCCGTCTGCGAGCTGTGCTCTGGGAGGAAGATAGAGAGGCAAAAGACAGAATTGGACCGTGAGAATTATGAGATGGAATTCTAACACCAACGGCACCCGGCATGAATTTCATCTCAGCTAGGAACGGCTTTCCTGTCAGAGGAAGAGGCTGGTGGTCACTGCTTTCGCAAGTTCGCTGGCCTGTCCCCCCCTCTTCTCGGCTGGCTTCTCGAGCTAGCTTGTTGGGATAGGTAGCATCTAGACTTGATGCCATTGGACGTGGAACTTGCTTCTGGCTATGTGGTTGTAGACTTCCAGGCATAGGCACCTTAGCAGGAGGACGTTTATGATATTCAGATTCAGTCAGTGCTACATCACAGCGGGAATCGAAGGGGTTTGGAAGTTGTATGTCAGTCTCCTGTACATAGTATCTCTCCTTCCAAGGATTGAATCCAGCCTTTGGGAAGCAGACTCGCCCTCGGAGCAGTAGTCTCAAACCGAAAGAGTAGTCGTCGCTTCACTCATCTTTGACAGCCGAGCTGAACATCTAAAAAGCTTCACAAACCCAATTCAAACCTCCGACTCGATATGTGTGTTCAGCATCGTCCGCGGGATGAGAGAAATCAAGTCAAGATAAGCAACCTAGACTCATCCCGCACTCTCTCCCCAAACACGAAAACCTCGGAAACCGTCCCCGAGGCAAACAAAAGTAAGCAGTCTATGCTCTCATGCTTTCTCGCCTCTCCCACACTAGATACCTCACCTCACCTTACCTTACCTTAGCTAGCCAGCTAGGTGACCACAACGACCAGAGCTTCATCGCCTCCTCACTCGCCCTCGCCCATCTGGCACCAGTCCCTAGCCCAGCTGAGCCGTCCCGCCCGCCAGATCCTCCCCCGGATCTTCCCCAAGATCCCAAAAGCGGTAAAACGGTTTGCCTCCCTCCACCGCCAGTCATGCAAAAACACAGCCCTCATGTCAGCCGACGCTGTAGTATAAATCATCTCAACCTTTCAGCATTGGCGCCAAGAATAGCCAAGACAAGTAAAGACTGCCTTAGGCTTTTGTCTGTTCTCTGAATGCGCCTTGAACATGCGGCGCATGGGTAGGAACGTGACTGAGAAATAAGGTAGACTTGGAAAAGTATGCATCCAACCTCTAGTTGGCGTGCCATGGTATTGGGCGCCCAACTTGACGATGCCCGTGCCTCTCAGCCTCGCCTCATTGAGTTGCGAGTACGTAGGCAGAGTCGCGGCAGGAGGAGAGACACATGGCTCCCCTCAATTCGCCAATCTTGGCCCAGTTGATATAAACTCTCGTCTCCCCTCCCCTCCGTCTTTGGACCCCCAAAGGTCAATTTCAGACTTCTGAAGTGGCAGAAAGGCAAGTTTAAAAAAAGAAGAAAGACAAAACGGCGGTCTGAACTCCAGACACGATACCCGAAGTCTAGTTCCCAAACCGTGAAAGAAGGTAGAGGAACTCCAGAAAGAAATCTCCCGTCGCTACCATGATGAGAGTACGGCCCGACTTTGACAGCACAGACAACACCAATGAAAGTGATCATGCATTGCGTCCACCACTCGGCACCACTCCCTGATGGTGTTTCTCATGGGCGATTTTGCCTTTCACCGCACCAGCCAGTGGCCGGCAGAGGTTCAGCCAACGTCGAGCCTCGCTCTCAAGTTAGGTCTAGGTGCCGACTCGGTTGCTCCCGTTCGGGGAGCAGACACTCGAAACACTCTTGTCCCATGTGCAGCGACTGCTTGAAGCCGTCAACATGGTAGTTCCATGTTGGCTCCTTGGTGCCAAGACCCATGAGACTCCCGTTCTCTGCCATCTGGAAACTTTGTTTCGACTCGACAGAAAGCCTCGACCTCCGCAAGCGTCTGTCCAGTGTCCATCGAAAAACGTGACCATAGTAAATGATAGGCCAGTTGACTGATTATTGTGCGGGAGACTGAGGCTCAAGGAGAAAAGTCACAGGTTAATCCGGCTTGGCTTTCGCCCGGCGCGGCCGTTATCAGGGAATCCCGCCCTCCGATTAACGCCGAACGCCGGAGCGGCTCTAGGAGATGAACAGAGTCCAATAGAACGGGGTGGTCGGAAATAAGGTGTCCGCAGAACTTCGGACGAATCCCAATTGCCCGTGTTTGAGCGGTCGAACCACCGCTGGCAACCAGGGCGATCCTCTTTCAGGGTGAACCACCGTTCTCTGCCTTATAGATGGTAGCTCCTGAAGAAGCAGGCTCATGCCAGTCTGGCCATCCACACCACTAAACCCAGTGTTGGGAGGGTTGTCACAGTTTCATGCGCATAGAAACCAATCAGACTCGCCCGGAGGAGCAATCCCCGTCTGTGTCACGGCCACAAGGGCCATGTCGCGGTTCTGGCACTCATGTTATCTCCGACATTGCAGAACGTTGGAGGCCAGTGAGCACGACAGAAGGCTGGTCATCTGGACGAGCAGGTCAGAATTCAAAATCACAAACTCATGTGGTTGGCTCCTCAAGCACCCGTAGAGGCACGTGCAAGACGCATGGATGATGTGAGACAGCAGCAGACACCCGCCAACTGCAAATACAGGCTGCAGCGCGTGTGGTGATATAAAGAAGAAAAGGGGGGCGGGGATTCGCTGCTAGACCGAGATGGTGACTCGTGAAGCTGTAAGCTTATTTTCAAATCTCACCTACTCCTCCAGGTCGAGAGCAACTTCATGAATCTCTACAGTCAACGGAGCCAATCAGTGCAGCCATAACGGCTGCGGTATCACGGAGTGCTGGCGGGTCTTGGCACCCGGATCGCTCGGAGGTTGTGCGCGCCGGCGGTTGTGCGTGTCTCTCAGTCTTTCGGGTTGTCAACTCGCCCTCCCACTTTTGTTGATCTAAGCGTGAGACAGGGCTTGCCCAGACGCCGGAGTTGGGTTGAGCTCCATTATTATTTTTGGCGGGTCCGAGTGACCCCATTGGAAAATATGGAAGATTTCCTTGGGAGCTCATTTCGGGGAGCGTCGTCAACAAGTCCCGCTGAAAGATTCCGAGGTGGAAATGGGGCGGGAGGAGTGGGAAAAGTCCGCCGAGGGCCGGCCTACGGTCGTTCCATCAAATTTTGATTTTGCAGGCTCACAATCTCGATTGTCGCCAGGGCTCCAGAAATTCAAGGGATTCCTCTCTCGCCAGGTGTGTTTTCTTGGGCTCGTGGGAGGAGTGGACGTTGGTACCTTGGCTCACATCAGCGGGGGCCAACGTAACGCACGCGCACGCGACGCACGACACTGGAGTGGTTGAGAGAGACAGAAGCTGCTGCAAACACTTCCGCCGAGCTTGCCCCCTTGTCGATATTGTCGACCCGTGGTTTATGGGCTACGCGAGTACGCGGGAACGTGACTGGCTGCCGTGTTCGGTGTTGTAGCACAGACAATATCAAACTGCCAAGACCGCCAAGTGCGCTGGAGCCTCTTAATGACGATGAATGCTGCCGGTGGTGCCCTACACTCCAGTGCTTCCCCCTCCTCAGCTGGACTGACACAGACAATACGCTGTAGCGCTTCAGCGGTGAGACAAGGTGATACGGTGACGGGCAGGACCTGCAGGCCATGCGACTTCAACGTGTAGTAACCGTGTAAACATGGTGTGTTGGCAGGTGCTGTAAAATGCTGTGAAGGGATTGATGTTGAATCAAACAAACTGACGACGTTGAGAAGCCGCCTGCAGACGTTGAAGCGGCTGCAAAATCCAAAGCACCTAGGCTGTAGTCGCCGGTCTGGCGCAAGAGCTTGCAGTCATTGACTTCGATTTTGGTCGGCGAACACGGACATCACGGTGGTTTCGAGTAGGTACAGGCACTTGTACTGGACACCGGTGCGATGACAGCCTCTGATTAGTGTTGCGCCCGATGTAAAGTGATGGTCGTCACAAGTTTTTCGAGTTAGTCGCCGTTTGGATATATGGATGATCCATGATGCCGACTTTGTGAGGTCTCAGTGCTGGCGCCGTGTGGATGGCTACTAAGAGTCGACTATGGCGCACGCGGCGAAAGTGTCAAAAGAAGATCCCTGGCATATGTGGCTTGCAATTACACAGTAATCCATCAGCCATGCCAAGACAGGGCGCCTGGTCTGGTGGGGGGGTTTGGTGGATGACATCCATGTGGCGGACAGACAGTCATCGGGCTCGGGATCATCCAAGTCCACGAAGTTCGCGGTCTGGCCTCTGCCGCTCGCAGATCAATCATCAACGACTGCAGCAGCAACAGCAGCAACCAGCGTATGCACTCGCCCGTCGGTCGTCTGACTTGCTGTGTAAGCAAATTGGTTAGCTTAAGCAAACTCGGACGAATCGCACGTTGTACGTACGACTGAAATTGTCACCATCACAACCTTGAACCATATCCCACATGCTTATCTTGCGTTCTCCGCAATAACTTGAGGCTAGTCACCACCCAAGCTTTGCATCTTGCAGCATAGAACGGCTAGAGGCTGTTGGCATCACTTTTTCGGTGTGTCCCGCGTATGGGCGGGGAATCGCATCGATTGGCAGATCGCAGGGTGGTCGACATGCACAGCTGCATAGGTAGGAAGGGGGAGACCACCCTGGAGGCCCCTTTGAGGCCAAGGGATGGTATTTTGGTGCGGTTTGCGAGTTGCGAAGAGTGATGCGAGAAGGATGCGAGATCACGAGCTGTCGGTTTTGGGGCTCGCGCGTGTTGCAATCTGATTCTAACGAGGTATGAAGGGGTTACCATCGGAAGGTTTCGGTGTGCCTGTGCTGCTTGATATGGCCTAGAATGGCAGACGCTCCTGCCATGGCCGCAGGACCTCAAGCGCGTAGCGTTTCGCTGTACGCAAAAGTGAGGAAACCCTCTTGGTTGCATCTGCGATGCGCCTGCCCCCTTCGAGTCCCGATCGAGCCATGTGTAGAGAGAGCATCGTCCCATCCTAGTGACGGCCGTGACTGTCCGTGGGCGGAGCGTATCGGCCGGTACAGACTGTAGACTCAACTCTACGATGGAGCGTAGAGAGACAACAGGATGTCACAGACCGTTGGAGGTCTCATCTCTCAACTCTCAAGTCGGATTGGTGGATGTGGTACAGAGTGGTGTTGTCGCTGTATTACCCGCGTACTGCGTATCTGCACCTCGTGTAAACGACGTCCATAAGAAATTATCGCCAGGTCTAGTTCTCTACGGTAGAGAGTCAGGAAAATCAGATCAGCAAGCGGGAAACGGAGGAGTGAACTTGACCGATCCCGACCTCCTGAGGCGTCGGACAGCGGCGTTCTCGACGGTGGGCGGACAGCTGTCGCGCGGGAAACATGTGGAATCCGGGATTAAGCGATGTGGGAAATTTGAGATTTCTTCCGTAAGCAATTTACCAGAGGGAGGGAAAAGCAAAGGAAAATTTCATGACGACAGTGGGGTTGAGTATCCAGGAACGTCGCTCGCCAAGTGGGACACAGGAAAGAATATTCACAGAAAAAAGAAGTCAACAGCTCAAAGGAGAGAAGTGGGTACCGGAGTACCTTCCCAAGGCTCGCCCGAGGCAGGACGGAGGTACCGGTACTTCCAGAAAGTACTTCGTTCCTTCGACACCGAGCGATCCGAGTACTCCTGCCCCAAAGCTCGGGAAAGCCATGCCCACCCAGCCTCACAATTCAGTCATTTTACTTCCAGTTTCCTCACCCTCGGCCGACTTTTTCCAGAGGCTGGAAATTCTCGAGCTTGCCCAGATTTGCTCCATTCGCTTTCCGCTCGGTTTCGCTGGTCCCTCTTCCTCCCCTGGTTGTTTAACCTCGCGGCGGACAAGGCCACGCGGGCCTCGTTTGGCTGCGCTTGTTTGTGCACTTGAGTCCTCGGGGGCGCTAATAATAATAGAGAGCGAGTCGTCGTCACCTCGATCCCCAATCATTTCGCATTTGGCCTGGTTGGCTCCCTCTGGGCTCTGCCTCTGGCAGCTCTGCGTCCCTATCACCCCTGCCTGCGGGTGACGATTGCGTATGTACTACGCAGTAGTGCTAGGCGATACTGGCGGTAAAGGGAGGCAAAGGCAAGGTCGCTTGTTTGATGCGGCGCCTTGAGATCTTGCATCATCATGATCTGGCCTGTTCTCTGCTTCTCCCTACAACCCCCGTCTCCCGAATCGCAAAACTTGAGATGACATTCATTTGGCGCTTATATGAAGCACATCAAGGGTAATGCCATTATCATGGAGCCTCGATGATGCTGGCATCCTAGCGTCTAAGGGGTCGAGGTCCCTTTTCTCGTTTCCCCTCCCCTTTCGCGGCGGTGGACTTTGGGCGGAAGTTGGAACAACGGAGCTAAGGAATGCAGGATGCCCTTCGTTCGCGTTCCGTCTTTGAGCCTCGGTGCCGGCGACGGCGGCCGATGGATTAGATAAGCGCGTCCGGCAGTGGGATTTCGAAAAAGGGACCTTCAGGGAAGGGGTCGAATGGTGTTGGTTAAGTTCGAAGCCATTTCAAGCCACCGACTGCAAGCCCCATTTTGACAGTGACTCTCTCTAACGCCTTTCGTCAGGCCACCAAATCTGATTCACATCGACGCCGGCATCGACGGGCCAGCGGCCAGCCCGATTGTACCGTCTGTCGCTTTCTCCCAGAGTCGCAAGCCTCCCATCACCTTGACTCCACGATGGCGCCGTCGTCTCGGCCCAATGACCCGCGCGGGCCACTGAAGTCTGAATTTCACGAGTGCGGCCGCGCGATTTTCCCTTGGTGGTGCGCCGATTCAAGAATGGTCTTGAATGTCGGCGGTTGCAGCTACCGCACGCCGATGGGCCTCCAAAACCGAGATTTACGTCGTCGACATGCAATTCCCGAGCCGTGATGTACCGGCGTCAGGTCCGTAGGTGGTAGTGCCCAGCCTCGCTCTTTTGGTTGACTTGCATCGTACGGACAATCCGCATCGCAAACCTCGCTGCGAGCCTGCGACAAAGGGGGCCTCGGCTCGGTAGGTATTTGCAGACGACGCAAAGATGACGATAATCTCAAGATCGGGTGAGCAGCAGCTGTTTGTTTCACCGAGATGATTTTATTTTCAGGGGTAGACAGCGGCCAGACCAGGGAAGACGTATTGTGTCAAAGTGCCATTGCGTTGCTTCTTCCTGCTGGATGTGCGACACGTTGCGCTGGGCTGTTGGTAAAAGCCCCGGTCTCCGGGGTGAGCAGTGGGATGCACGGGTCAAACCGTCAAACAAGATTGTTGGGACGAGTTGGTTCGTAGTCACAATCGTACCGGGAATCATCAGCCCTGTCGACCGGGTCACAATCAGCACGCGACACGTCTTGTCTTTCTGCGACTCTGGGTTGTGTGCAGGTGACGCCGCCAAGTGGGAGAGAGAGAGAGAGAGCAAATTTAGGTACTCCAAGGTCCGACGCGCCGACTTCGACGGGGGCCGGGGGTGGACTTTGCGGGCCTCATGATGGACTCGAGATGAAGCCGTTCGCGGTCGTAGGTATAGAGTATAGACGAACCCATTTTCTTGTCGTTGTCCTACTAAGATAGTCAGCAACAAGTTCTTCGCGAACAATGGAAACATTCATCTGCACAGCAGAGCCTTCGAGAATAAGATTGCCGCTAGGTAAATAGAAGAAAACATGAACAGACCATAACTTCTAGATCAGCTAACTAATTCCCGATCCACCACGGAGATGTTCCGTAGATGGATGCAGAGGAGCGACTTTTGCTGTGTTGCTTACCTCGGGATTGTGATCTGTAATCCACAAGAGAATGCGAAGGCGAGCCTAGCGAGGACGGAGAAAAAAAAAATAAGCCGACTAATGAGAAAAATCGAAGCAAAAACTGGATCATCCCGGCGTCACCTAGAATTCTTCTTCTTGCCAACCGGTAATAGCGCATCATCACGTAAGGCAAGCCCGTCCGCCCACAAACAGAACTGCTCCTTCCCGCCAACGCCACAAGCAGCGCCAGCGGACTCGGGAAGGAACGGAGTACGACGGGAGGAAGGTAGGAGTACTTGGAAGTACGTACCGTTGAGAAAAGCCTCCTGCCCGATCAACTGCAGGGAGTGAGGTGCGCATCGCCCAATCCCTGCACTCGTTTCTGGCAAGATAAGCCTGTGCGCCTTTTCGCTCCACTCTTTTCTAGCGTCTTCACCAAAGAAGAGGGTAGAAGCCACTGGTGACTTTGTCCATGTACCGCAAATGCCCCGCTCTACCGGGAGAAGTACCTGTACCCGAGCCGCAGCTTCCGAGCTTCCTCTCTCATTTTCTCTCAGATCTTTGTGTCTTGTGCGCTCGCTGAGTGCGACTCTGTTTTCCCACTCTGCCGCCGATGTTGGCGATGGCCCCCAATGGGCAAGCAACAATGGAATCCACTACTCCGTACCGGCATGGATGAATATGCAAAATACGCAAGTACGTGTACTTGCATTGCTACGGCACCTGCCCGGCTTGTGTCAGTCATCGAGCAGTCAGTCGGTCAGTCAATCAGTCATCACGGACGCAGACAGAGACAGCAAAGCACAAGCACCGTCTTTTCATCCCCCCGGAAAGATCGACATGAGACCTCACAGAGACGGCGCCGAAGCTTACCAGCTTTTCAACAGCAATCATGACAGCAGCACTCATAACCAACCAGTCCATGATCATCCTTCCCGAGGAAAGGATGATGGAAAGACGGCAGAGCATCGTCGACTTGGCATCTGCCTTGCCATGCTTCGCCCATTCTGTGAATCCCACGTATGGAGTATTAATATGCCAAAGCGAAAGGACGCAAAACCTGGGCCATATTTTACAAATCCACACAGAGGTAGTACAACGGTACGGACTACAATACAAGCACGAATATACCTGCAGTAAGAGACGCAGTGGAAGACGCAGTCGGCGGTGGCCAAAGGACAGACGGAGAGAGGGCGGGCGGGACGACGGGAGTACTCGGTACTCGGTACTCAGACTGAGTATTTGCCAAGAAAGGCAAGCTAAGGGACCCCAGGGTCGACCTGGGTGAAGCAATACTGCAGCAGAGCATCATAGCTCCATTTTCTTTCGATTCAGACTTTTCACTTTGCCCAGTCCCAGCGTCCCACGCACCAAAACGGACCACTTACCGCCCGACAGTCCTCCCCCTGGTCTCGGTCAGCTGTGTAGGGACGGGAGACTCGCGCCCACAAGGAAGGAAAGGTGGTCAAAGGTACTCCGTACCCACGATACCTTACAAACTCGACCCGCACACCATAGAGACCAAGTCCGCGTACCGTGTACATTGACGCAAGGCAGTCTGGGTACTCGTACGGTCCTTCCTCCCCCTCCCCCGGTACCTCGCTCCGGTCCTCTATTCTTTGCGAGAAGGGACGGAGAGCAAACTAAGGTAGCCCACACTCCACACACCACAACGACCTGCACCCAAAATCTCTCGGCTTCTGACAAGCACCCCGGTCCCCGCCGCTTCCGTAGGCCGGCTTGGGCAGTCTTGGTATCTTTCCGCTGTGTCTTGGGTTTCCTTGGTACTTGTCCACTCCACACGCTCACACGCTCTCGTTCAAAGATGGACTCCAAGAGTCCAAAGGCCCAGAGCGACAATGTCCCAAAGCTCGGCCTCCATCTGCAAAAGTCTTGGGACCGTGGACCTTGTCATTGTCTTGTCTCCGTTCTCACTCTATCCCGTCTCTGCCTTACCTTAACCTACTTTGCCTTACCCTGCAGCTTTGCCCGCCTGTTCCGCTGCCTCATCATACATATCAATCTAGTCATCCACACTTTCCGTAACTTTGTCGCTTGTCTCATTCCCTTTTGACCTCCTCCCCTCCCTCTCCAAACCACCTCTTCCTTCCAACGTCCTTTCGTTGTCCGTTGATTATTCACCTATTTCCTCCCTCCCCTCCGGTGGCAACCAACCAACTCACCAACACTCGAACCAATAGTGGAATTAGGAATTTTGGGGATTCCAACAGGACGGTTCACTGGGACGTGACGTAGCTGGGTCAGCGAACAAGACAGATTCAAGACAACACACAACGCCTGCTGGATGGTTCGGTTTTAGTCAGACACGGACAGTCGACGTACCCCCGGTAGAAGACCAACTCGCCCTTTGGTCCTCTCTGCCGTCGCCTATTACACCTTCCCACTTCGCCCCTCGCATTGCGTCGCGACTCTCAACTACCTTCCCCTCCGAGGGCATCAGTAGCCATGCAGGACTTCAGCACTTTCCTGAAAGGAAAGCCCACTCTGCCATCTCTATGGACCGGTAACATCAACTTCGCCAAGCTCAACCCCATCCCCCACCGATACCGACCCAGTCGAGCGAAGAGGAATCAGAAGAAGCGCGCTTCTGGGAACTACACTGGCGCCGAGGATGTCACCTCGCTGCAAAAGTCTCTCAACCCTCTCGACACAATACGGAAAGTGCAAAATCACAAGTGGCGCCTCCTCGACCTGCAGTACACGATCCTCGCCGCCCTCATCATTTTCTCGCTTTGCATTACGCCCTCAGCGCCATTAATCAAGACTCTCGCTGTCACTGGAGGTCTCCTGCTTTTGACGATACCCGTCACTAGCCAGTTCGTCTTCCCTGGATTGAGCATATGGGCATACCTCATTTATTTCTTTTGTAGTCGGTAAGTCAGCTTGCTTGTGGGTATTAGTCGCCTGGCTTGGATGCTAACTTGAAATCAGCTTTATTGATGCGAAGTACCGCCCCCATATCTGGGTTCGCGTCCTTCCCGCCCTCGAGAACGTCCTCTACGGCGCCAACCTCTCCAACATCTTGTCCGCTCACACCCACCCGGTTCTCGACATCCTCGCCTGGATCCCGTACGGACTCGGCCACTTTGGCGCTCCCTTCATCTGCGCCGGCTTCCTGTTCCTCTTCGCCGCCCCTAAGACGCTTCCGATTTTCGCCAAGTGCTTCGGATGGCTGAATGTGCTCGGCGTCACCATCCAGCTCGTCTTCCCCTGCACTCCTCCGTGGTACGAGAATGAGCATGGCCTCGCCCCGGCTGCGTACGGCATGTCCGGATCCCCCGCTGGTCTGGCCCGCATTGACGCCATCCTCGGCATCGACATGTACACGACCAGCTTCTCGACCGCCCCGGTTCCCTTCGGCGCTTTCCCGTCGCTGCACGCTGCGGACGCCGTCATGGAGGCCCTTATCTTGAGCTACTGCTTCCCTCGCTTCCGCCCTCTTTTCGTCATTTACGTCGGATGGATCTGGTGGGCCACCATGTACCTTAACCACCACTACGCGGTCGACCTGGTCGGTGGTTCCCTCCTCTCCGCCGGAATTTTCTACTTCGCCAAGGCCCGATACCTGCCTCAGCAGCAAGCTGACAAGAAGACTCGCTGGGAGTATGACTACGTCGAAATTGGCGAGCAGACCAAGGTCTTTGATGAGGAGTACGGACGGATGTATAACATGGGATACCTCCAGCGCCGCGGCAGCTCCGACAGCGATGAGTGGACAGTTGGCAGCAGCTCCAGCTACAGCACATCGAGCCGGGGTAGCGGAAGCTTGAGCCCCGCCCTTTCCGAAGAATCCGGTCGCAGCATTTTCAGTATCGAGATCAGACCCGACAACGACAGATACGAAATCCCCCAGTTCACAGAGGTGGCTGTGCAGTAAACACCTTCTTGTCACAAGCGCAGACCTATTCAGAAACACGATGAACAAAGCGAGCAGTGCCGCGAGCCGGAAGGGCGATGACGCCGGATCAACCCCGCAGCGCGCACCGGGAACCCTCGGACGATTCTTCGAAACCACGAAATAAACACCCCCCTTAACCAACACCTGTTTTGTTCGATTCTCATCATCAGCACTTTTTTTTTTCACTCAAAACGGATACCACTTTGGATTACCTGTACCATTTGCATCAGAAGCACAGCAACGGCGCAATAGTGGTTATTTTTACAAACGACAGAAACAGCCGGAGACGCAATGATCTCGACAGGCTTAGGAGTAACGGCCTCATGGATGACCAACAGCAGAAGAAAGACCCACGGAGTCGGTGAAGGGGCATCAATGGAAGAAATGGGGGACATGGGATGATATAGAGTCCCCCCGTACATATTAATGTGTTCAATGTCGAGATCTATCTCGACCATCCTGGCGCCTAGCTGGGTTGAGAAGGGGATTGATCTCAGGCGCCCGACCAGCAGGAAGGCGGGCCCGATGTAATGCGGAGGCATAAGGGGGAGAGTATACCACGAGTAGAGGTAGAGCAGTCGCTACTGAAGTAGTTGATGAGGTGAAGAGAAAGAAAGACGAGATCATCTCTCGATACCATCGTTCCCTTTTGTCCTGACTGTGATGTTTCGCCCTTCCTGTCTGCTGCAGTTCAGATTGAGTTCACGTCCAAGGATGCCAAGCTGGGGGGTAATCGCCCGCATTCTGACATCGAGTGGTCGCCGATCATTCCCCCCATGATTCCCATTCTCGACTCTCCCAGCTGAGCTGATCCCCGGCTCGGCCGGGGAAGTAGGTAGGTTGCGCGGCCGGGCTGGCTCTGGCTTGGGAGCTACGGCACCAACGGCATACACGGCAGGATTTGTAGTCTTTTGTGGCGTGTGATGGCGCAGACGGCGGGCTTAGATGGACAAGGTGGAGGAAGAGGGGAATGCCATTGAGGCTTGAAGGGGGAGAAACGGCAAAACGGGAATGGAGCAAGTTGACGCTAGAGCCAAGACCCGAGCGATCGGGTCCGGTAAATTCAGCCTACACCCCCGCCTCAATTGTGGGTTTACATACTTGGTTGGTAGGCTTCCCTGGGAAAGTTTCCAGGTTGGATTTGTGCTGCGCCGGTTCTGAGGGGCCGGGGGACCCCCGACCGGGGGGTCCACTTCGCCGAGCATGGAGTCTTGGCATGGGTTCTGAACTTCTGATTTCCTCGCTCGTGCTATCCTCTATTCTTCTGCTTCTTCTTCTTCTCCTCTTCGTCATCTCCACAAATCGCCCTATGCACGGCATCCCGTGACTTCCACCCCCTTTCCCAGTCCCTTAGCTTCTCCTCTGTGGATCTTGGATCTTCTGGTATCGTGGGTCGCAGGATTTGATTCCCACAGCCGACCAAGATGCCCACTACAAGCGAGATCAAAAACACCGCGTACATGTGTCTTCGCAAGGCAAGCCTGTCCTGCGGATTTTGATTCGCTCGCACCTCATAGATCGGCAACTCTGCGATCGCCCAAAACAACAAAACGCTCCCCGGAGGTATAACAGCCAGCTGCAGGGAAGTCTAGGATTCCCACGGACCTGGAGCCCACAATAGCAAAAACACATAGAGCATAGCATAAAACAACACCAGCCGTGATCTGCTGTAGCCGAGGTCGACAGGGTGTCTCACGAAGTCTAGGGTCTCTGCCATGCTATGAGAAAGCCATTGGCCCCAAGATCGCGTGTCCAGCGCCTGTTCTACCGGCGCCTGCTCTACCGGAACCTGTCTTACGCGTGGTCCAAGTGAGTGGAATGATCGGATGATCCGTCTGCCGCCACGGACGCGTATCTGCGGATCCCTCCTGTCAGCCAGTTGTATCAATGTCTCCTTGATGTCAAGCGTGGAGATGATATCTTGTCGGACGCTGGCAAAGGAGACCATGTAGCCGTTGCCGCCAACCCGGGCCAACAAGATGCCGAGTACACGTCCCGATCTATCATCGACGACCCAGGAGCCCGAGTCTCCCGTTTGGAAGCCTGTAAGTCTGTGATCAGCAAACTCGTGGACACTGTGATTTTTGAGAAATGACCGAGTCCTGCGGCGCGTACCTTGACTAGAGCCCTCTACTTCAATCTTCCAGACTTTTGAGGTTCTCTCACCGCCGTTGGAAATAATGAACGACGGGTTTGGGCAAAGATTGCCGCGTATCAAACCGCCCATTCCAGAAATTGCCCATACCGTTGTTTGGGAAGGCGGGATGTCCGGGTGGTCTTCGTCAACGAACAGTTTACCCAAATCAGGGCAGAAGCTTTCGATGAAAGGATCTTGCCATGTTGCTGGTCTCTTTGCGCCTTCCGGTACCCTGTTTGGGTAGAGAAGATTCGCTGCTACAGGCACGAGGAGCCAATCGTCCCCACTCCGGAGGCGATCTTCTTGAATCGGGTTTGAGCGGTAGCCCCTCTTCTTAGACGACTTTGCTGTTGTGCTGTAGTAACTCGTCGCTGCCTCCCCTACTTTCCTCGGGTTCGACTTGAGTTCAGCTGTGCGAGATTCCTTTCTTTATGGCGAGAGCTCTGGCGCACTTTCTTCTGCGTTTCTTGCTTCGCTCTTGCCAGCATTCACATCTAGCGACACGGTCTCTGGAAGCTGAACTGAGTTCTTGCCTTGACCGCTTGTACCATTGTCGAATTCAAAAGGAGTGATCGCCGAGTCTTCACATTCCGAATCGTCACCCTTGTCAAAGAAGAAGAGCGAGCCCCTGTCATCATCACTCTCATAGTCGACTTCATCTTCAGGGAGCCCATCATCGTCATCGGGCATGTGGCTCGTTGTAAGGGCGTAGAATCCGCCCCTGATCTTAAGAAGGCCGCCAATAGTTGACGTCCACTGGTCCAGATTAGGTATTTGAATGATAATCGTACGGCCGCAGAGCGTCAAGGTCTTTGCCGGATTGCGGATCGCACAGGAAGCTTTAAGCGCCGTGCGACGGACTTGCTCCTTATGATAGCAGAGATCCAGCGGCTCGTAAAGATCTCGATTCTTTCTCATCTCCATGGCATCGTGAAAAGAGCTCATCTGCTTCCAACTTCTCAACCCGGTGATTCGGATGACAGTTTTGGCTCTTACTGTCGTGTCTGCACCACCTGTAACTATTTGAACGATTGTCCTTTTGGGAGCCACGGAAACAAGGCTGACATCAATAGTCGGTAAACGGAATTCGAGCTTGCTGAAGAGCTCGAGTCGTTTGTCTCTCAAGTTGTCCTTGAAACTCTCCAAGATCTCCGTTTCTTCCGATGTGAATGCAGCGTTTGGATCGGCATTTGCTTCAGACCTTCTTAAGAGAGTATCCGGGCGAAAGATGACTCTTTGGGGTCTCGGCGGTATAAATGGTTCCGGTGCCGATGCTGACCCCGTTGATGACCTTGTCGCTGTTGCCGTCGATGGACTACTTTCTGGTGGCATGGATTCCACTGAAGTAGGCTCTGTCGAAGCAGGCTCTGCCGAAGAAGACTCTGCCGAAGAAGGTTCTGTCGAAGTGGGCTCTACTAAATGATTATCCGTTAGAAGGTTCTCTCTTAGAAGAAGCTCTGTCAAAGCTGTCTCATCAAAGACCAGCTCATAATCCGCCATATTCCACACCACTTGGTATCTGTATGCCTGATATTACTTATCATCGTTCACAAAAAACAGCATCTCGATCTCGCGGTTGGGTTGGTGATTTGGGGTCTTGGCAATCATTCGCACCAAGCCTATCTGCACTATCCACCGAATGATCGCATAGAGAATAAAGCCGAGGTTTTCATCTGAAGAATCTGACTGCACGCAGCCTTTCTCCATAGCTGCCTGCACCATGAAGTCGTCGGAAGTTGCTACTTTTCCTGGAGGCTGTGGAGTCATTGATGAAATAGACACTTGAAGGCATAGAGGCTTGGAAAATGGAGGCGGGGGTATGAGAAGGTTATAAGAGAGCAGAACCACATACTTATTGTACTGCGGCGGATGCCGGGCTGAATGAATATTATTGGTTTGTATTATTGGCAGTGCAGTCATGTGGCACGGTAAAGGATGAGAGGACCCGAATTACGCAGCCTGATCTGCGAACCGCTATTGATTTTCCATTCAACGGGCGGCCATCCCGAGTGACCTCCCCTCACATCCCTCATTTCATCGTCCTGACGCCAACAAGCTAAGAAACCGCTGAGAATCAATCTCATCTCACAATGAGCGACAGTGAAGCTCGATCTGACGAGGGGAAGATCGCGGACTCCATCTGGGGCCCATGCGAATCAGACCAGGTTGCTTCTGCCCGAGGAAGACGACTTGCTGGTTTCCTTACCTATTGCACGCAGCAGCGACCCCCTCCCTGCGTCGGCCAACCGAGTGCTGTGGACCCTTCGAAAGAGATAGTAGGCGCGATACGATTACTCAAATCAAGTCCCTTGATCCAGAAGGATGTATTGTTGAACCAAGAGTCCACTGAGATGAGGAACGTGGCGTCAATTGAGTCCGCGGTTCGCATGATGCTCGTGACGGAGTGCGAATCCGAGGGCACTATAGCCATGGGAACCGGCAATATCTACCGGTGGGGTAGAAGTGAGACGCTGGTGGGCTACTTGGGCCGAGTGTACACCCAATCTACTTCAATAGACATCCCGAAAGATCCCATCGACCACAAAAACCTCAGATGCTACATTCTGACCAGGGACGCTGGTATAAAGATACAGCAAACCGAGAAGCTATCGGATCACTTGTATCTCAATTATGGCACCAGGACCAAGGTGCTTTCTGTCTTCTCTCACAAAGCATTCCTTGAATGTAGTCGAGAGACGCTGAAAGCAACTCGCCCGGATCTCACACACACTGTAGAGGAAGCATTATCACTGTAAGTTCCCCCAAAAGCATAATTTGAAATCGTCCGATTAATGGGTTGATCAGAGGTTGTCTACCGCCAAAGCTCATCGAAGAGACACTACGGACTTATAATCTCTCTCTGCTGATCGGAAGTGCCAGGTCTAGAAGAGGCTTACAAGACTGGGTCAAGCGCGAAAACTTGGACACAAGTCTCTTGACAGGCTCCACTGGCCTCTCTAAGAAGGACTCACCTCGGACCTTATACGACTTGTACGAAGATTTCCCATACTGGACCTCACAGCTAGCTCGTCTTTTGGAAGAAGTCGATGAACCGACACCTAGTACTAGGTGGGAGATATACGCAGAGCGGAGAAGTCTCACCGGCATACGTACAAGTGCGCGATCGCTGCGCTCGTGGTGGCCGCCATCTCGGGGATGCTGGCGACCTTATTGGCGGCAGTCCAAGTGTGGATATCGTACTGTGACTGGGACAAGAACGCTGGCAAAGCTTTATGTTGATCATGAGTCTAGTATGTAATGAGATGTGACTTGCGGGTCTCATGGATTCTTCGAGAATTGTCCTGGACGTAGTAATTTGACATACCTACTTTCGACAAGGTGCATTGTAGATGGGTACATTAGGCTGGGCTGGGTCCATGAAAGACAGGCTTCGATATCGCGGCTATTTACTCACGGGCCCGGGACATATAACATGCCCGCAAAACGAGGCATCCGTCTCTCGCAAGTTGTTTCGTGTTATCGCGTTACACTCGATGAGCCCATCGTAGCCGATAAGGAATTGAGCCGTCTGTCAAGTCTCGGCCCCAGGCGACGAAGAATGGCATCGGGGCTCTTGAAAATTGGGCTAAGTGCGTGTGATGGGAACTCATTCGATGTCTGTTCTCAGAAAGCTGGATGTAGCTGCGTATTTACCTTGGTATGGGATAGTAGTTCCTGTTGTCAGGCTGTTGCCTTCTGATTCGGTCACCCTAATCGAGCAAGTCACGTCAGGGCACATTGAGCAAGTATTATCATTCGTCATCATTGCGACTAGCTAGCTAGCAGGCCAAGAGCCAAACTCTCTATCTTCCTCCGCGTCTGTGACCCGCATGACACCCTCGCATAGAGGGACATACATTAGGTATCGATCCGTCCAACGCCCCAAATGAAGTAAAAGCAAAGCCAATGGTAGCCCATTTCCTCTCCAACACCTATGCCTCGTCCGGTCTACACAGTACAGCTTAGAACAACGGCTCTCTGAAGGTGAACAGGTCTCGTCGTAGCAAGTACAGAGAAAGCCAGACAAAGCTCATGGCGAAGGGGATATGAGCGGGTGAGAACGTAGACTACGTCTCCAAAACACAGTGTGTACTTTTCCATCCGGTACAATGCATGCAAGAATGAAAAGAAAAGAGACCAAAATGGTATCTGTGAGCCTCCACAAGTAGACTTGCGGGCCGATGTGGTCGGCAAAGCCAAATCGCACGGCTCTGCAACCGGTGTATATACTCTGACAGGTTTTATGGGCAACTCTGATATGCTGCGTGAGCATTGTTGATGACGGCAGCTAGGCTACTTGAAGCCATGTCGAAAGGGCTGACGGAACGGCTTCTTTCCGAAGCTGGTGGGTTTCTAAGCGCTACCAGGCAGCGGAACGGGCGTCTCCTTCTTGCTTGACTTGGGCTCCTCTGTCTTGTCCGACTTTCTCTTCTTGCGCTTCTCCTTCTTCGGCGTCTCCTCAGCTGCGGGTGATGACTTGGAAGTGAACTGCGGGATTGGGACCGCGGATTCGCGACGAATGCTGGGAGGGAGAATAGGTGTCTCCTTTCGAATTGAAGCCGGCTCATCAGCCTTGGACTTCTTGGAGCTCTTCGACTTCGGCTTCGGCGTCGAGGTCTCAGGGGCTGGGCTGGAGGCAGCGGGGAGGCCCGAGAATGAGAAGCCGGGCTTGGGGACGGTCGGCGGCGGGATAGCCGTTACCTTCTTGGCAGAGCCCTGAGCGGGAGTATCCTGGGATGAAGCGTCACGCTTGACCTTCTTGGCTTTCTCCTTGATTGACTGGGCCGGGGTGGACTCCTCGTCTGTGGGCAGCTTGCGCTTGGATGGCTTCTTGGACTGGCTGGGAGTAGCCATGGTCGGCTTGGGGTTGGATCCCACACTCGAGATGGACTCGATGCTATCGCGTCGCTTCTTGCTCTGCTTTTCCTTGGTGGTGGGTAGAGGCTGCGAGTCGGGTACCTCAATGATGGTAGACTGAGAGCCCTGGACAGGATCCTTGGCGGCCTTGGACTTCTTCTTGTCCTTCTTCTTGCTCTTGGGGGTAGGCTCATCGATGTCCATGGCATCACCTGCCGGAGCCGCGGGTTGAGTGGATGTGTGCTTGGGTTTCTTGGTGCGAGTCGGGAGAGCAGGTGTCGAAGTCATCTCAACATCTTCGTCGTAGGATTCATCGAAGCCGATCTTGCCCAACGGAGTATCATCGGGAACACCGATAGGGTGGAAGCGAGCTCTCAAACCTTGCGGCTGGGGGCGCGGAAGGTTTGGCTGAATGGGTCTGGGAGCACTGGACTCGCTACCAACCAATTGGGTCACGCGCTTGACATGCAGGACCTTGTCGACCTTCTTAGGAGCTAAGCGACGACGTTAGCAGACTGTCCAAATGCGCTTGCTACGTTGTGCTTACCTGTCTCGTAGCGATTGCCCTTCTTGTTGGGAAGGAGAAGCTCTACCGCGGTGGCACCGACGTCGAAGCCGACAGTGTAGTCTTCCGAGTTGTGCTTGAAGATGGCGTCTCCCTTATGCGCCTTGTCCAAGGGAATCTGGAGCTTCTCCACAATGTTGATAGGGATGGAAGCAGGCGCGGTGAAGTACCAGAGCTGCTTGCCCTCGAGCTTGGCCTTGGTGAAGAAGTCGGTCATATCCTTGCCATCCTCATCGCCTTGCGCTTGTCTCAGAATAAAATCCTTGCCGACGAATCCGGGAACGTTGAGATCATTGCTGTTGCGTCTCGGGGCGACAGCGGCAGTCTGTCTTTCGGGTTCTTCCTCGTCAGAGCTGGATTCCTCTTCTTCATCTGCCTTGTCTTCTGCGCTCTCCTCGCCGCTGGTGGAGCCTGCATCGCTCGAACTGGTCGAAGCCGGCTCGGGTGCCTTCGCACCATTGACCGCGGATTTGGCTTTGGGCTTGGTCGTCTTTTCCGCCTCGCTCTCGGCATCACTCCCCGAATCGCTGGAAGAGGTTGTGGAAGCGCCATTGGCAACTGGCGTCTTTGTGGCATTCTGCGCCGGCTTCTTCGCAGTAGGCTCGCTTTCGCTATCACTGTCACTCGTGGACGAGTCCGACTCAGCAGCCGCCTCGTCTGCTGAGGACTCTTCGGAAGAGCTCTCGGGCTTGACTGGGGCTTTCTTGGTGGCAGGGGGCTTCGCGGTGGAGGTCTTGTTTTCGACGTCGCTATCGGCAACCTCATCGGCCTTGTCGCGCTTGGCCTTCTTCAGAGGAGTGCTGGCAGATTTGCTCGACGCCATCTGACCATTAATCTTGGCGAAGAAATCGGGGTTAGCCGGACCGTCATCATCGCTGCTGTCACTGTTGCTGGAGCTGTCGTCGGAATCGGACTCCTGAGCGCGAGGGTCGAACTTTTCGGCCTTCTTGGTCTGTGTGCTCCGGGCGAATTTGCTCTTGGGCTTTGCGGCTTCCTGGCCTTGCTTCTCGAGGATTGCGCTCAGCGAGTGAACGCCATCAAGCTTGCGTGACGACATCGTGCCTGGCTGGAGTGCTTCTGAAGGCAAGACGAGGTGCTGGCGTAGAAGGAATTGAGGGCGGCGAGACGATGGGAATGGCTGGGACAGGAATTTTTCGAGGGTCTCGCAAAGATTCAGAAATCTTTGCAGGGATCGCACAGACCAGCGGTGGGGTTGTGGTGGTAGGTAGCGGGAACCGCGACGCGGTGAGAGCCAACCCGCGTGCCTGCCGCGCTTCCGGGGGACTTAAAGTGCGTGGGCGTGGGCGTGGGCGTTCGGATTCGCATGAAGGATTTTCCAGCGCGGTTTTCGGTGTGAGTGCTTCACCTCCAAATCTCATATCGCGATCGCGGGGTCCGACGGATTCGGCTGCCATTTCGGATTGACGCCCACAGTGCTCAGTTGAGTGGGTGTTGAAAGCTTGAGATTGGTAGAAATTAGCAAAATTCTGTGTGTGAGTTTGGCCAGTTGAGGTTGCGTTGAGTTGAGATTAGAAAAGAAACGAGCTGACCTGGCGTTGGCAAGGTGCAAGAAGGGGGTAAATTGCGAAAGGCAGTCTCAACCAGGGGCGTCTAAGGTACCTTCCTCGTGCAGATTGTGAGAGGTGCGGTAAAGTACCTGCCTTTCGGGCAAAATCAGGAAGGATCGTGCCTTCCTGGGCGCAAGCTGAGGTTATCTTGCTGCAGCTGCTCGGCAGGCACAACCATCACTGCTCCTGCTGTCTCCTGAAAGTCACGGGAGGATCATTGAAAGAATTTGTTCTAGAATCAAAACCGTAGTAGATCTCCCCCCCTGCGACCAAGGAACCCACCATGGCGACACCAAAGCGACGTAAGGTCGAGACAATTGAAGGCTCAAGGCGTTAGTTGTCACCCCTTGTGCTGCTTTCAACGGCATCTTCACCTAAGCAACGGCTAACAGCCGAATAGCAATGAGCGCATTTGCGTTGAGGCAGCAGTTGCTTTCAGCAAGCCCGTCCTTGTCTCCAGCACCTCAAGCCGAGTCTCAGCCAGCCCCCGATTCCCAGGCGTCAACTCCTACGCCTACACCTAAAGGACGGTCCCCCGCGAAAGCAAGATCGTCAAAAAGGGTCGCCTCCACTGAGGAAGAAACAACCCAGCACACGCCAAAGACGAACCCCGGCCAGAGTGCATCTATGCCAGTAGCAGGAGCACAAGAACCCAAGTATGATCTCCCCGCCTCGCCCTTCGAAAGCCCTCTGACAAGCTTCTCAGTAGTCCTACCGCAGATCCTGAAGACATCGATCCGGCAAAGGCTGGACCTCAGCAGTTCTCGACGTTCAGACCAAGTAAAAGTAACTCTCGCAGAGTTGCAGGAGGCATTCTCGAGTTGAGACTCCATGACAGCGAGGTAAACCTATCCTTGAATACGACATAAGGAATTTCGTTGACGAGTCAAGCGTTTTCTGGTACTCGGAAGCTATGGTATCAAGGTACTCGATGGCGAGATCACTATAGCAGGAGCGAGTATTCGAGCTTCTGACGGCACCAAATGGGTTCATGCTCCTCACTGCCATGCGATCCCCGTGCTGCGCTGCTCAGAGGAGACAAAACTTGAGCTGCATCCTCACCCGCAAGGGGCGAGCCTGCGTAAGCTCGAGCGGCTGTCACCTCTCTTCCGAAGTCTGTGGCATGAGCCTGAAGGAAAAGCGAGTAGACGAGGCGCCAAGACCGATACCTACAAGATTGTTAGTTGATGTCTGGGACACCTCGAATCCGTCGCATACTAATAGCGGACAGATCTGTACCTCCGAAGACGCGCCGAAGCGAGCTCTCGTCCAGGATCTGCGTTCGCACCCCGCCTGGAACAAGAAGTTGGCGGGGTTGACGAAGGCGAAACCAGGGCAACCAGCCCTCAGCGTGATGCTATGCGGCCCAAAATCGTCGGGCAAATCCACCTTTGGCCGTATACTGGGCAATCGGCTGCTCACGGGCGCCGGCCAGCAGACTAGGACCCGGCAAACGCCATCATCAGTCGTTGTGATGGAGCTGGATCCCGGTCAGCCAGAGTATACTCCGGCAGGTACAATCGCCTTGGTTCAGGTTAGAGAACCCAACTTGAGTCCATCTTTTGCCCACATTGCAGCGAATGAGCAGAATGTGACCGTTATAAGATGTCACTCAATAGCTTCAGTATCACCTGCGTCCGACCCAGAGCTGTATCTGGAATGTGCACTCGATCTGTTTCAACGCTACCGAGACACCTGTCAAGGGCTGCCATTGATCATCAACACGCCTGGTTGGGTCTTGGGAACAGGGCTGGACCTACTCAGTGAGCTTGTGTCAACAATCAAGCCTACCGAGGTGATTTACATGTCCGAGGACGGCCCTAGAGAGACCGTCGAGGGCCTGCAGGCGGCGTGTAAGACAGTCTTCACACTGCTTCCCTCGCAGCAGTCGGAATTCACTTCGAGAACCGCGGCACATCTACGTTCGATGCAGGCGTTGGCGTATTTCCACACCAAGAGAAACCCGTCGAATCAGCTGCTGTGGAACCCTACCCCGCTTTCATCATCGCCTCCGTTGCTGGTCGGCTACAAGGGGAAGAACCGCGGAATTACGGGGATTGTTAGCTATGAGTATCAACCGCCGGCAGAGCTCCTCGCAGAGACCATCAACGGGTCTATCCTATGTCTGGTCGAAACCGAGGACACCAGGGCGTTCAGTCGTCTGGCTAGAGAGAGCAGTGGCTTTTCTTCTGCAGCATCGAGCGCTGACGTGATGGATGTTGATGGTGTTGCGCTAGACTTGGAGGCAATTGTCGCCAGGACTCCTGAGGGAATCCCTTATATCCCCAATACCGATGCCCAAACTATGGATCCACGATACGCGCAAACGCTGGGCCAGGTGCTATTACGAGGCATCGACACAAAGACTGGCACTCTCCAGATTCTCACACCGATTCCCCTGGGACGCATCGAGGCAGCCAAAGCAGCGGGCCACCACTTATTGCTAGTCCACGGCAAGCTTGACTCCCCCGGCTGGGCGTATACGGAAGACCTGTACTACCAGTCCTTCAACGGCAGCGATGTAGATAACTCCAAGTATGACACGGTGGAAGTCATGGACGAGGATACGGAGAGCGACAACTCGGACGAAGAGCCCGAGAACCTCGAGCTTGCCGGTGACTTGAGTGACACGCACACACCGTGGATTGAGGTCCTGCAGGGTCACGAGAAGCGCCCCGTGGGGTCGAGGGTGTGGAGAGTCCGGCGCGACCTCGGGCGGGCCGGGCCGGGCGCTGAGTGAAAGAGATAACACGGATGTCATTTACGGCTACTCTACAAAAAGGGACGAGGGATGTATGTGTGCCGCAGAAACGTAGAATACCGTAGCCAGTGGGCTGAAAGATATCGGGTAGTATGCAGAGGCGTCCCAATATCCGTACCTATAGTGGCGTGTTAGATACCACTTACACAGCGGAATTACGGAAATGTACCCCTCCACAATCTAGAATGCGGCGGCTTGCATCCACATTCTGTTACCCCGTACATGTGGCACGCACACCATGTGTGTCTTGAGATGAAGTGCAGCGTATGCAGTGTGGCAGTCCATCCAGGGCGGCCGCATTACCAAGTACTTGAGTACCTCGAACTCCGTGAGTCCCTGCATTGGAGATCTACCCCACATGCCCCGATGACGTCGGTGAGTTGAGGTCCCCAATTAGGCCTCTCCCTTCGGCCCCTCTTTGTCATGCTTTCTCATCGCTTATTTCCCCAAAAACCTTAGCCTCTGGCGGCAGTTTTCTGCGGATAGGTGGTCGTCCAATGGTGCTACACACACTCAAGATGATGTTCCGAAGGACCTTTAATCCGTGGACTTGTCCCTCGAGGAATAAATCCGCCCGAGATCGTGGGGAAATCGAAGCCGGCTCAATTCATATACGAATTAGTATTTTAAACTACTACTAGTCGAATTCATCTGTCCTGCATCTTCAACACTCTAGTCCTCCTTCTCCCATCTCCATTGCTCTGAAGTTCTGAAATCCGGGTAGTGCACATCATGACTGAGCTTCCTGAGAGTAAGGTCGATGTCCTCATCATCGGAGCTGGCCCTGCTGGGCTGATGTTGGCACTCTGGTTATCCAGACTCGGTGTCAAGACCCGTATTGTCGATAAGAGGATCGCCAAGGTCTACTCTGGGCAAGCAGACGGGTGAGAGAATCGAATCTCTGGAACGAAATTACAAGCGCTGACCCATATCACAGTTTCCAAGTGAGATCCCTCGAGATCCTAGACAGCTTCGGCGTCGCAGAGCGCGTATGGAAAGAAGCAAACCGCATGCTCGGTATGCCTGACCTCACCTTACGCCTGAGATGGGAGAACGAGGACAGAGACCTCGCTAACACCTACCGCAGAGGTCAGCTTTTGGAACCCCGACGAGAACGGCACGATCCAGCGCAGCGCCAAATCAGTAAACACAATCCCAGGCCTCTCCCGCTTCACCGAATCTGTCCTGCACCAAGGCCGCATCGAACAATTCTTCATCGACGGCATCCGCGCGTCGTACCCTTCAAATGAGGAGCCACTGCAGGTCGAGCGCATGGTCATCCCGACCTCACTCGAGATCGACGAGGCCACCGCCGAGGACCCGGACGCGTACCCTGTGACGGTGACGCTGCGGCACCTGACGGAGGAGGAGGCGACGCCGACGCAGATGCTGAGTAATCTTAGTGATGGCATCTTTAGGAGTAACCTCGCCGAAGACGATGTCGCGGGGATTTTGGATAGGTCCAAGGGGTGGGAGGCGAGGGATGAGGTTGTGCGGGCCAAGTATGTCGTTGGTTGTGATGGGGCGCACTCGTGGACTAGGAAGGCGCTCGGGAAGGAGTTCGAGATGAAGGGGGAGAGTACTGATGCCATTTGGTGAGTAAGTGTGATGTGAGCCATGATGAACTGTTTGTCTGATGGTGACGACTTTAGGGGCGTGATGGATATCGTTCCCATCACCGACTTTCGTAAGTTTTGGCCTCTACTACAGCGGCGCAGTATATTGACTTCAGATAGCCGATATCAGGTTCAGGACCATGATCCAGAACACGGCCGGCGCGCTGATGATTATCCCTCGCGAGAACAGGATGGTCCGTCTCTACATCCAACTCAAGGAGGTCTCGGCGGGCGGCGGCCGCGTCGACAGGTCGCAGATCACCCCGGAGATCATCTTCAAGTCTGCGCAGAGAATCTTCAGCCCATACAAGCTGGAGTATCACTACTGTGACTGGTGAGTCAACACAACTTCTGCTTGATGTGGTGGTCGGGGTGCTAAAGTGCTATTAGGTGGACGGCCTACCAAATCGGTCAACGAACAGGTGACAACTTTAGCAAACTCAACCGCGTCTTTCTCGCGGGAGGTAAGCAAAATTCCTCATCTCTGCCCTTCATCCATACCCGCCAGAAACTGACCGGATGCTCCTAGACGCCGTGCACACGCACTCCCCGAAAGCCGGCCAGGGCATGAACATCTCGATGCAAGATAGCTACAACCTCGGCTGGAAGATCGGCCTCGCGTGCAAGAACATCCTGCCGCGCGACGTCCTCTCGACCTACGAGCTCGAGCGCAAGAAGATTGCAAAGGACCTCATCGCCTTTGACGGCAAGTTCTCCAAGCTCTTCACGGGCGCGCCGCCAAAGGATATCCAGAGCGAGACGGGCGTGTCGGATGATGTGTTCCAGAAAGCGTTCCATACTAGTCGGATGGTACGTTACACACCAACTCCAGTCTTCTCCGGTTCCCAGTGATGAGATGGGGGCAAGTGCGACGATGAGCTGACGTAGTATCGCAGTTCACAACCGGTGTCGGCGTAAACTACCAACCAACAGTCCTCGTCGCCAAAGAGGCAGACACAGTCTCAGACACCGACGACTTGCCCAACATCCTCGTAAAGAGCGTCGCGAAAAGCACACAATCCCTCGCCACAAACTGCAAACTCGGCCAGCGCTTCCCGTCATACAAAGTCATCCGCCAATCCGACGCCCGCCTCTGGGAACTGCACCACAAGATTCCCTCCAACGGGCGCTTCCGCCTCGTCGTGTTCGGCGGCGACATCTCCCAACCTACCCAGCGCAACACCGTCAACGCCCTCGGCGCGTGGCTGTCAAGCTACCTGCCCAAGCTGCCGACGATCGCGCTCTGTCCCGCGTCGGATCCGCACAGCGGGGAGATCAAGTTCAAGACGGGCGAGGACCCGAGTATCGTCGACGTCGTGCTCGTGCATACTGCGCCGCGGGACGAGGTTGATTTGTTAAAGGACGTGCACGAGGCGTATCATCCGTTTGATAGTAAGCTTGGATGGGATTATGACAAGGTGTTTGTTGATGGGGAGACGTTTTATGAGGAGCCTGAGAGGGCGTATGAGAGGTATGGGGTTGCTAAGGGCGAGGGTGCTGTTGTTGGGTTGCGACCGGATGGGTATGTTGGGCTTGTTACTTCAGTTGGTGGTGATGGGGCCGAGCAGATTCAGAAATGGTTTGATGGTATCTTTCAGAGATCATGAGATAAGGTTGATGGTTGGCATCGTTTGTAGGTATATAAATTAATTGACGGGACGTGAGGACCGTGAAAAGGAGATGTAGCTCAATGAGACTCCTTTGAGATGCATCGGGCTGTGATGAAGCTGTTTGCTATGAATCCTTGGGAGCCCTGTGATACACCTGATTCGAGCATCTTCGTCGACATTCGGCATACATTTGTCTATGAAAGCCATGATGATGACGTTGGATGATTTCGTGAATGTATCTTTCGGTAGGCAAGACACGGTGCAATGCTTTCAATGGGGTCGGTACGTTGATGCTTACAGATCTGGAGACGTGCAATATGTCATCGTTTAAGACTTCAATGATCACTGATGCGCAAAGTATGAAATTCGTATTGAATAAATTCGGCCTGCCCAGCTTTATTATGCAAACAACCTGGAAGTCTGAGGCAACACGAAAATGGTTATTTTAGACTCCTCGAAATGAAAGGCCCCGGAAGAATTCTTGACCGATTGAGAGGGCGAACGCCATTGGTTCATTCGAAGCCCGAGGACCCAGCCCCCCTCATATGAAGAGGAAGTGTCATCTTCCTAAGCACAGTCACTTCTCTCCTTCATCATATTACCCCTTCGCCATCATGCAAACCTCCAGCACACACTTCCCTCCTCGTCTTTTGGTTCATCTCTCATCCATGGTATCCAGAGGCCAAGCATCACACCTCTTGAGTGCTTCATGGAAGACGATTCTCCGCGACCGACGACGGGCGTGCGACAAACCACTCGGCCCCTGACGCCAAGTATTCCAAGCGCGATACCATGAAGCCATGCTTCTTTTCAAAGGAAAGAAAATCACAACACAAAACCAAAAGAAATCGCGTCTCCCATCATCACCTCCTACAAACATCACCTGATCCCTCGCCATTCATTATCCTCCGCATTCTCAACATGAGATATCCACGCACTCGTCTTGGAAAAAAGATGAAAAAGGGAAACCCCATCGATATCGCTCGCTCGCAACGCTTCCGTTTCTTCATTTCCGTCTTCTCATCATGACAAGCCTTCTTTCAGAAGACCTGTTTTGTTGTGGTGTTTTTGCCTCATTCGTATAACATGATGGGTATGCCTGAGGCTGACCTCGGGGAAAGGGTCAATGCTTTCGCTATCTTATCTCTGTGCACGGACCATTCACCCAACCCAATCCAGTCGACTGACGAACCTCGCCAAAAGCGACATACGACGGGTCGGTCTGAAAGGTGGACGAGGGTTGTAATGCCTTGGTATGGTATTGCAGCCGACACTGACTTGACTTTGCAGGGCGACTGCAACACTATTCCGAGAATCGCGATCCAGCACCTCGAAGGTCTTTCGTCTGACCATCATTGGGCTGAGCTTCTTCACCCGCGGCCCCTGGGCCGCGAGGAATGAGTTGGTCAACCCTGGAGATTGCATCAGCGACACGCTGGGCTCGAGTGTCTTGTCGCTCATGGCTCCCAGCACGATCGCTGCTCACGAGTTCGAGGTCGATGTCTTCCTCGAAGTCCCGGAGGCGATCCTCAGCCCCGGTGTCAGCTCTTCCCTCTTGGCGGGGCTGTCTTCCCGAAGCACCCCTAAGCAACCCACATATTAGCCAAGCCGAACCACAACGCAATCGAACGAATCAATAAGAGAAGAGGTAGGAATCTGGGTGGATGATGAAGGACCTCTCGCCAACACGATATCCATGCCACTGTAAATGTCCAGTTGGCTCGAAAGCGCATGCTCCAGAGCCGCATGCTATTCTGCGACCCCGCGGGGCCCTGAGCAGCTTTGCTCAGTTCGCGAAGCTGGCAAACACTGGCGGTAAAGCTCTATAAAAGAGTGAATTCCATGCCTCCACAAACGCGCCGGCATGGCATACTTGCTCACGCGGCGGCGCAGAGCTGGGCTTGGAGACATTTGCTGAGATGCCAAGAAGAAGTCACGGTGCTCTTGGAGCAACGCGCGGTGGAGCGCTATTGAAGTTCGCGAGAATGGGGTATTGAACTTACGACTGGGCGGAGCCTTGCTTGGCTGCGAAAGAGGACATGCTGGATTTTGGTCGCCTCGGCGTTGTAGTGCGGGTTGCAAGGTAGGTTAGGGCGCGCTTGCAAGTGAAGGTATGTATCGGTGCGATAGGTGTAATCTTGGGTCCATTCAGGTTCACACGAAGCGGCAGAATGGTAGGTCGTAGAACGGTCGTGTCGTTGCCGGGCAATGTTGCGTGTGGTGTTGGGGAGCCGAGAGCTGGTCTGTCGTCGGATGACACTAGACTTAGGTATAGGAACCATGTCTCTTGCGTTGGTACTCGATGTAAGAAAAGCGTGTCCTGCAAAAGCAAAACGTCTTGAGAGAGAAATCTTGAGAGAAGGCAGAGAGAGTGTGAGGAAGGCAGGCAGGTAAAAAGGAAAAGGACGGTGGTGGTGAAGGAGGAGGAGGAAGAAACGGACGACGACGGAGCGGTAACTCAGAGCTCTCAAGTGTCCCGAGCACTTTTTAGCTTGGGACGGTCGCACCGGTAGGTCCATCTGTCACCCTCTCAGCAACGCTACAAGGCCCTGCTCCATAAAGATGCGGGATTAGAACTGTCCGACTCACAAACAGGGTCCGCACTTGACCCACGCAGGGTCCAGTCCCGGTCGAGGAAATCGGGGAGAGCTGTTTGTGTTTGTCTACCTACCTGCCTTACCTCAGGGGATGAGACCCCTTAAGACTCGAGAGTGACATGCAGATTCTCAAGGCACGAATCCGCCCCTCCACGACGTGCGTAATGTACCTTACGCTTGTGTTTGCTTGCTCTCTGTAGCTCCGCTGAAGATTTTGTCATCGGCCACCTCTGGGAGTAATTCTCATCTCATGCCCAAGGGGCGAGATAATGATAATGATCGGAAAGAGGAGGTCAATGCACGCAGACCGAAGAGCAAAAGAAGCTTCCATGGATCCTTTGCGCACGTGTCCCCGCTTCATAACGTTTAGTGCTTGACTCTTTGCTCGCCGGCGAATCCACCCTTTTCTCTCCCAAAGCAGAGCCGGTAGGTGGAGGCAGGACAAGGCGGAGGAGACGGCGGCGGCGGCGGGACCTGGACTAGGACTATTGCTGGTATGTATCTGTGTAGGATGCAAAGACAGATAGATGCAAAGACACACAACCCAGCTGGCAGGATCCAGGGGGTTCGAGGGTTTGGGTGTACGGAGTAGGTAAAGAATGGGAACGACAGAGGTGGGGCGCTCGTAGCAGACTCGGGACAGGAGCCATTGGAGATTGGAGTGATTGAAGAGGGAGTGAAAGAAGAGCGAGTGATTGAAGAAGCAGAACAGGTCGGGCCAGTAGCAGCTTCACACGCAAGACACGCGCTCCAACCCCGTCAGGAACGCACCCACTTCCACCCTCTCGTCCATTTCCATTACCTTGGAACCCTGCTGACCCGCTGTGGCTTTTACTCCCATCTAGCTTTCCATTTCGTCTGACAGGTGCCAGGTGTTGTCGAGCGACCGCGCACTCCCTCTTTGCGCCGCTATCCTCCTAGCCCAGGGCCTTACAGGGCAGGGCAAAGAAGGAGTGGGGAGGGGAGGCGGGTAGACTGTAGGGGAGGCGGGTGAATCTCTGTCTCTGGTCACCATTCGCTCTACACTCCCTCGAGCTGTGCAATTTTTACAACATCTCATCTTTGTCAAGCCAGAATTGCCGTTGCATCAAGTAGCAGAGCAACAAGATTACATGTTGCCATTTGCTTTCCGCCCTCGTCTCTTCCATTTGCGTCCAGGTCAACTTCTCAGCATCGCCTGCCACTCGACGTAGTTCAGAATTCTCCAGCTGTACATCATGAGTAGTCCTTTTTGCTTGGCGCGACGGCCTTGAACTTGAAGTCACCAATGTCTCGGTACGTACCGGCGCCAAACGCGAGGCCGACGCAAAGATGAGAGGGGTACGAATGCAAAAAGGGCCCAGGGGGCTTGTAACAAAGACGACGACGACGAGGGGGGTGTGATGGAGACCCGGGAACGAGAAAGAGCGACCGGGTACCTTAGGTCAGAGCGTGCCACTATGGGAGAGGTGAGGTCAGGACCTTGGGGCAGGTGGTGGCGCCCCAAAATTCCCATCTTTGACAACGTCCAACCCGTCAGGTCGCGGTTGAGAATTAGCGGCGGTGGGGTCGGCGGGCAGAAATTCGAGGCGACATGGGCCTCTGGGTTGCGAATAGCTACAAATGTGCCTAACCGGGGTACATAGGTGGAAGCAAGGGAAACAGAGGGGCAGTCCCATTCTGGGTCGGTGTCGGTGCTCTGACGACGACCATCTTATCTCGTTCGGCGGAATTCAGATGAACCGACGAAAGATGCCTCGGACGGGTGCATGGGGAGATGCTGACGCCAATCCTTCAGAAAGCTGGGATCTTCGTAAGGCTGAAATTGAAATGCACGAGGGCCTCTGAATGGCTTCGCATCGCTTCGGTCGACGGTAGGTTGGAGGGCCCAGGGTTGGACTTGGGAGCATTTCGGGTGGTATGAAATGCTACTGGCAAAGTGAGACTACGGAGTAAGGTACGGTACGATAAAAGACTTCAAGAGTACCTGGCAGTACCTGGTTTGTTATGGATCCCTACACCTAAGATCGTGGAGACATGATGTATCCATAGATTCTCACTTGAAACATTGCACCTAAAAACCCCTTAGAACAGAAGATGTGACAGTCACGTATTGCTGGTTCCCCGAAAGCCAAGTGCCGCGCATGACATAGGTAGGTAGGATATTCTCCATTTCCATCAATTGGCGCTTTATCAAAGTACCTTATCCGTACACTAAATTCGTCACCACAAACTCCACCGCCTAGCGCCACTGCCCAACGCGGGTGCCACATGTTCCTCCAACTCTTGCAAGCGCATGGTGCATTGGTAGGCGGCTCCTCGCTTCTTGCGCTCGGGAGGAGCAGCTTAATGCCCGGTTCAACCGAAAACACGCTAGCCTCCTTCGACATGAGTGAATTGCACCAGAACCTACGGATACCTTACCCCCCTCTATTCGTTTTTCATTGCAGAATCAGCCCCAAGTCACCTCAGTTGGCCGAGACTCCAGACCCAGACTCGATGTCCGCTCCCATTGAGTGGCAGCCGACACGCTTTGGGTTGGCCTCTAATGCTGCCGGCGCAGGGGTCTGTTCGTCCTGACAATTCAGTTGTCCTGTGATCATCACCTACTCTCAAGATGATCCGTTCAGATCTTCCAGAAAACATCTTGGAGATAGCTCGGAATAGGGTCACAAAATCACCTAGGTACTGCTCACGGAGGACGTCGGGTGTCTAAACTCCGCCCGCCCCAGCTCCAGCCACTCTACTTGCTCCAACAGTTCGCTCTTCGCGCTTTTCGACGTATCCACAGCCTGATCGATTTCTGCTTGTCCCGCGATTAGATCACCGACCTGCTGTCATCCGAACGATTGAATGTTTGTGGTGTGGCAGGTGCCCGCCAGCCAGTCCCCTCCCTCCTCGTCATTTTCCCACCTAAACACTCGTCCAGTTTGCGTCAGCCACTATACCGCTCACGAAGTGATACGGAACATTTGGTACAAACACAGCCCCTTTTTTCGTCTTCACGGCGCCGACTGCTGTGAGGCGCAGCCGCGCAGCGATGAAGCAATTCAATACCGCTCTCGAGTCCCTACCTACTGCCTAACTAGCCCTTGCCAGGGTGAGAAAAACATTTTTCTATCATCGTTTCCGTCTGACACCGTCTCAATCACACATAGTCTGTCCATCCCATCTCAGCCACATTCTGCAAATTCTATAACCTGTGCCAACCCTGCGATGAAGAGACCAATCTCAGCCACAGCAAGTGAAGAGTTTTCATTCTTCAGCGCTCACATTGGACGCCGCAATCTCACCTGTCGCAGTGTTGCATGAACAGGAAGTAGAAATGTGGTGCAGAACGGGCGCGTCCTGCGCGCGCTGGAGAACACTGATTTCAACAGTGAGGTCACGACGGGAGGTACGTGGCTCCCTCTGGTTCTCATCCACTGGTCAATTCGGGTGAGAAAATTTTTTCACATTTGCACTTTCACCCCCGCGCAACACCACGAATAGAACTCTCCAGGCGTTCATGTTCGTCGCCCGCCCGCGTCCCGTGACCAGGATCTCTCGCGGACCATATTCAGTTCGCCAGAGTCGTTGGCGGCTGCCTCTCGCGTGCTCAACGCTGCCTAATTGCCTGGTGCACCGACCAGCAGCCCGTGACGGAACTAAAAAAAAAAACCGGTGGAGTTATCCCGGATTTTGTGATATAGCCTCAATTCGGGATTTCTCATCAAGCGGAGTTTGGAGTGGTTTCCATGGCCAATTTCATCCATCAACAAGCGCAGTCAAAATAAAGTCGACTTATTCAGATGAAAGACGGGTCCGTTCTTTAAACTCTTGTCTGTGCACAAGTCGGTGGGTGTCTTTCTCAATTGGGATGAAACGGCCCCGTTGACGTGGATCATTTCAGGGATAATCCCATGAAGATCAGGTGGCAGGATTTGATGAAAGAAATGGAGAGCTAAGGGCACTATCGACAACAATCAATTATGATGCCGATGGATGAGAGAAAAAGTCCCATCCCACGTCTATCTAATCTGACTATAAGATGGCTTATGTAAGCATACTCAAGATAATAATGTTTGCCATGAATGAGATACTGGGCCCCTACCCCAAATTAACCTCGCCAAAGCAGAGAATAAGTTACCCGGTGCGCCGGGGCACGCAGAGGTAGGTGCCATCCAACTATAAGGTAGTTGGCCCAAACGCCCCGAATCCCATTGTTGCCTTTCCCTTGCCCAGAAGCACCTCAATTCTCCAGCGGTTCCGATGTACGGAGCTCGAGAATGACATAATGCCCCTGCAGAACCCCGTGCTTGGTTTGTTCCTGCCCAACAAGCAGCCAATCTTGGGTGCAACGCATTGACCCATCAGATCGCAGTTTCCTTTCTTTTTCCAATGAGGTCAACCAACCGCATATCATCTGCGTCGAGAGAAAACTTATGTTATCCCTTTGTCGCTTTTCCACCCCAATTGTTTCATTCGTCCTCGACACTCGACCTCCCCCGATTTTCGGAACGGGAAGGCCTCCTTCCCGTCCCCCCACTCGCTCGGTACCTTGCGAAAATCCCGAGGCTATTCCCAATCGAAACAAGCCCCCCGCCAGGATCTAGGTCCAAGGCACAGTTGCAGCCACAACCGGGAAACGTGTGGTCGCACATGGCACCAAACCAGTGGCTGATCTCCGATGAATTTGAACCCTTAGTTTGAGAATTGTGAACCAGCGCCACGCAGGTTGATTGGCACGTTGTTGACAGATTGCCCAACAGCGCCTCCGGAGTGTCCTGAGACTCTGCAGTCGAGGTCGAGTCGCTTGACGGCAGCGGTTGTGGAGAGTATTTGTGAAACTGGCCGTGTTGTAGTGAAACCGAGCCCAACTGGCAATGCATGGTCTTTTTTAAACTTTGCGTATCTTATATCCCTATTCTTTCGTCAGTAATTGATCGATGATAGGTCATTGCGAAAAGATTCAGCATGATCGTTGAGTGAATTAACACAAGACGAGGACGGAATCTGAAAAGCGTTTATGACTGACGTTGGACGCTGTGCATCTACTGATAACGCCATTACTGAAGACTGGCTGCTGGTGTTGTGGACGTGTAAACCGAGGAGTAGATGTGAAATAGTGATTTCTAGGAGTTGCTTCGAAGCTTCGAGTAGATAGTTTGAGAAGAAAGAGGAAAACGAGAGCGTGGGTTGGAAGCCAGCAACTCAGACA